AAAAAAAAACTGTGTGGTTCCTGCACACATTCCCGGATCGATGATTGTATACGCGCGAGAATTATTAAGCGATGGCGACTGGCGATTGCGGTGAAAAGATATAATTGATGTAAAACACGCGCGCGCGCGCACACGAAAGAAAGTGAGTTATCCACGCTCACGTGAATAACAACAAACGGGTGTATTTTCCGGTAGGTTGACCGATACTTATCTCGGTCGCACGCGACGAAATAGAAATCCCACAATTCAAATGTGTCGTGGTGCGTTTGAAATGTGACACAGTCGAATTTCGAATTACTGTAATTATTCAAACGTGTAATCTCAGTTGCGCGTGGAAAGAGAGAGAGACCGGGGGGGGCTGGTTTTGAGCCGTTGCAAAATGTTACGTAACGCGCGAGCGCGCGGTTTGTTACGGAAACCCGGGATCTCCAGTGTCACACCGAAACCAAACTATACGTTACACCAGTTGGATTATTCGAGCGAGTTGTTCCGAATTAAAAAAAAAAAAATGACTGAGAGATCAATGGGAGCGCGAAACACACAAATGACAGTTGCGATTCTTTGTTGTATCGGATGTACCTGCAAGTTTTGTTATATGTATATAGAGATTGTAAATCTCTCTCCTCGACCGTAAGATGCGATGTTTTTTTAAATTCCGATCAAAGGTGTTGACCGATGACGTTAGTCAGTTCTTTTAGTGGAAGTTTTAGATAAAACCGTGAGTCAAGCAATGATAAGGAAAAATGGAATTTGAAAACAAATAACTTGTGTTTGACAACCATTGATAGTAGAATTAAAGTACTAGGATCGTTACGAGTTTATATACCGGATGTGTGTGTCGATATATTTATTAACTTTTCTCAAACGTGTAAATTAACGCACGTGGAAATTCGAATTAAATTTAATTTCAAAATTCCCGCAGGATGCTTTGCATCACCAACTTGCATCTCCTCCATGAAAATTGAAAAAAAAAAAATTCAATTGAAAAAACCCGGAAAACTCCGGTCAGAGTCGATCTCACGCGCGCGTTCCGCGCAGGAAATTCATAAATATATTTACACATTTAAGAAAAATTAATAAATCAAAAAATATATATATATACATTCTTTTTACGAGCATTTAAATTGTTCATTACACGTAACGTTTGAACATAAAAAACTGCAACGCACAGTGCCGTGTTTCGTGATCCCATTAGTCTTCTGCGCGTTATTATATGCATCGAGGGAGAGTGTTCTTTGATATTTCTCGAACGTATATAATAGTCGTTCTGTTCTATTTCGTTTCGTCTAAAACTCGTCGGTGGACACGTGGAAAGTTCTCAATTTTGTTTTGATGTTGCACATCAGAAGGAGAGGATTCTTTGATATTCCTCGGCGCGCGAGGAATATCGATATTCCGTTGCGCGCTGTAACACAATAGCTTTTGACGTTTTTTCTCAAAACTCACGTTGGACGAGACACATGTGGAAATTTCTCGATTTTGTTTTCTCTTGAGCAATCGAGAGACGCGCGGCGCGGTCTGAGCGCGATCTCGAGACAGAAATGTGTGTTTTAGCATCGATGTTTCGCCGAGATTGTAGTTCAATAAGATGAACAAAGGACAGGCTTGTGTTCTTGATTTGCGAGAGAGTACGCGTAGCAAAGCCGTAGGAGAGCGCGCGATATGTATCGTGTGTAAGTAAGTACGTACGCGCGTATGTACGTGTGTTGATTGTACGCTGCGATGATTCGCCGTCATTGTGTCGTGAGAGCCGACCGAGCTGTAACAGCTCACCTCCTACACACCCTCACGCGGGAATCGTAATATTCGTGAGAATTTCTTGATCGAGCCTCTTGTTCGTTCCTCGGTCGTCGTTGGTTTCCGAATTACGTGCGCCGTTAGCGCGCACGAGGATCTATTGCGTATATATACGGTGAAAATATTATGTACAAACGCGCATTTATCTAAACGCGTTCGATTCTTGAACTTCAGACCGACGGTCTGTCAGTAAAAATTTTTGAACTGGCATGGTACTGTTTTAAGTATTTAAAAAATTTGTTCGCTCTCCGCGCGTCTATAATTTTTCAATCTGATTTATTTAATTAAAACAGACACACACAAAACCATTATTTAATTAATTTAATTTAACTTGATCTAATTTAAACGGAAAACAAATTTGAAGGGATGTACAAAGAATAATACAAAATTAATATAACATCAATGTATAAAATATAAAATATATAAAATGTATGTATAATATATAAAAATATATTAATACATGCGCAATAAATAATACATATGTTACATACATATATTATACACAAGATGAGTATCACCACTAAAATATGTTTTTCTTTTTTTCTGAATTATCTTGGACACACACACACACACACACACACAAACACAAACACAGTTGATATCGCACACAAAATAGTTACACTTACACATACGGAGTCTTGAAGTGCCTAAAGACAAGAATAATGTCACGGAAAAAACAACGAGTAGTTTAAGGATGAAAAAGAGGGAGGAAGAGAGAGAGAGAGCGAGAGAGAAGAGGCGCAAGCGCGCACGTTCCTGCTGACGTTCGCTTTTGTTCTCCGTGTGCAAAGACAAACGCTGTCCATTTTTGTCGTGGAATTTCTAATGAGAAGCCCTGGCTGTCTTGCAGCATCTGCAACTGCAATCGGGACGCGCAGCACGCGACGGTAATTATATACCCGTGTGCGCCGTTATCGGACGCGCGGTCGCGTATATATTAGTATGCACGGCGAAATAGATTTGCTCCGCGAATCGTCGTCCCCGCGCGCGCGCGCGCGACGTCGTATATAGATACCTACATAGTTCTGCGAGTGAAGAGAACGTGCGTTTTAAATACACGTGCGATTGTACGTCGTGCGCGGATTCTCTCGTGGCGCATCGCGTGTGTGTCCATTGTGCGCAGCGAGTAATTAACTCGATACACGGGGTGTCCCAGATTTATCGCTTGCACTTTCAACCGTGGGCCGGGATCTAAATTCTCACCCGAACTCTCTCGGTTTTTGTTTCAAAAAACAAAACAAAAATCTAAGCGATTTGGACGGAAGTCGGAACGTTATTGCAAACCTCTGAGAGAGGTGACGTTTAAATTCACGTGTAAATTCTAAGTTCCGTTACACGCGCATCCTCGTCAAGTCTTTCCTCGTAAAAGTCGAGGCAAGTTACCCGCCATTGAAAATGGAATTCTCCTTCCTTGAGAATCGCAGGGTTAGCCGAACACAAATCTCGTAACGAGAGAATTTACTCGATGGGGAAAAAAAAAATTCATATTTAATTCAAATACAATATCTCTCTTCTTCTTCCGACGCAATGTTCCTGAAAATAAGCAAAATTAATCAGAGGCTTTACTTCGGCGAGTGCGTCGCAGATTACGGAAATCAGACGAGTAATTGCATCACTGGAGGACCTTTTCACGCGGTCGGAGAATCGGGAGAAAGATAGGTGGTACCGGGAAAAAGTTGAGCTCTCCGATTTCTGCGCAGCGCGCAGCGCGCGGCGCGTTGACCTACTAACCCAGCATCCTTACTCTCTCTCTCTCTCGCCCTATCGGGTGATCCAATTTTCCGCGTGTCGTTGACTCTCTTCTCCCAGTGTTGGGTCACGTCGGGACGCGGTGCTGGTTCGCCCTAGTCATCGATTTCTAGGAATGGAAGCTGCGACCTGCAACCGGGACGACTGCTGCTCCAAAGCCTGTTGTACTTATAAGCCGTTTCTTGGATTTTCTCCTCTCCGCGTCGTCTGTAAACGCCGATTATCGGTCGTTGCGATAATGGGGCGAGGACGAAGTCAATCTTGCCGCCGCGCTTTATCGCGACACACAGCGAGGCCGTGAAAACTGGATGATCCCGCATGCTCCTCCCGCTGGACCCAATAGCATCCCACAGCAGTCGATACCGCCCGCGCGTCGCTCGTTGCTCCGCGAGAGAGAGAGAGAGAGAGAGAGAGAGAGAGAGAGAGAGAGAGAGAGAGAGAGAGAGGCGCGAAGGAAGAAGAGATGGAAGGGAGCCGAGGGATGAATCGAGTTCTCATGTAGTAACGAGAAACCGTGCTCTGGATATCCGATATTAGGTCGCCCGAGCGAAACCTTCATCTCTCGCGGTTCTCTCCGTCGCGCGCGTATCCTTCGATTCTCGCGTGCACACGTAATTCGAGTATGGAATAAGTTACGAGTTTCTTTAACGACGACACTTGGCTCGCTCGCGCGAAACGAAGAAGATGTCAAGGACGTTGTTAGACTCGTCGTCCTATTTCGACACACCGCGTCCATGTTGAAAACATAGATTGTTGTATCCGTTTTCATGCGGGAAAAGGGAGGAAGAGAGCTCGAGATTCACGTGCGAATTCATTAATTTGCGGAAAGGGTTCCGCGCTTTCGTACAACGCGGAACAATGTCAAGGCCGTGATCTCACGAATTATTTGGAATCTCGTTAATTAAAGAGTTAACGACCGCTAAGAAAAGAGACGGTTGATTGACTGTTAAGTTCCCTTAGTCTAATTCAGACAATTTTGTTCTCCTTGTTTTCCGCCCACACGTTGTACTTTCGTGTTTGTACGCTCGCCCACACGTAATTAGCTGTCGGATATATTTATTTGTCGCAAAATCAACGTCGAGTGCGGTCGCGTGACAAGTAAATTTTGAATCGCGTATACTATATATATACGCGCGATTTGAAATTTATTTTTCTTCTTTCCTACGCGCGAAAATGTTGCAGCAAATTGTACCTCTCTCTCTCTCTTTCTCTTTCTTTCAGTGTTTGTTTATTGTTTTTTATATATTTTTTGTTTGTTGATTTTTTGCGCCCGATAGAATTTTTCCTGAATGCTTTTTGCAAACAAAGCTCTTATCAAATCAAAATCTCTCCTCTCCAGTTTTCCTGTTTAAATATTTTCATAAATTTTAATTTTCTCAAAAGCTCTCATCTCTTTCAAGCTCAATAATATATTTACAATGTAATTAATGAGTATCTATGTTAATTTTTTGCAGGCGCAGCTGAAAACATTGCATAATGGGTTGTGCATCGCAGTGCGCCAAGTACTTTCTCTGCCTTTTCAACTTCATATTCTTCGTAAGTTTCTGCGATATATTATAACACGTAACACTGTAAATCGGAGCCTGTGTTTTACGAGACGTAGGCTCGCATAGCCGGCAATTTGTCAACATCACAAGTTCAGTAGTCGCGATGATTCTCGCTCGTTTCGTTTCGCGACGCGCACAAACGAAACAAACAATTTGCGAAATTTCATCTGGCGCGTTAAAAAAAAAAACCCCAATAACTTTCGAAAGCGATCGCGAAAACTATTCACGTCTCGGCGCGAACGTTCTTTCGACGTATAAAACTTTAACAATTAAAAACTTGAGAAGAAAAAAAAAGAGAGCAAAGATTCTTTCGGAAAGAGATAAAAATAATTTTATTTCTTTGGGATGAAAAATCTTCCGCTTCTTCGCTTCGAACGGCGAGAGGCATCGGAAACTGCATTTGCTCAGCCTTGAAGTCCATGAAGCAGAACGAGGAGAGTTTTAAGTCCCGGTTACATTGAAATCGTTTGATTTTCAGATCGCCGGAGGAGCGGCACTGACTGTCGGTATTTGGCTCTTCGCCGACAGCAGCTCGTTCACCAATCTCATCGGCAAGCTCGATCAATCCGACATCTTGGTAAGTTTGCCCAGAAACGCACGCGACGAACGAGTGTATCGTTCTCGGTACATCGACGATATTAATTGCAAATTTATCGGATCAAACCGAAGAACACCTGACATTAAAACACATTAAAAGGAAAAAAAAGAACACACAATCGTGTGATTATCGCTCGGATAATTTCTCTTGCGCAAGCGCGAGACGATTATGCCGTAAGTTTTCGTTATGCAATTTGCGGAAAGTGCAACGTTGCGAGAGGTTTTGACTTGAACGAAACTGGATTTGATAGTAGCGTATACATCGATTTCCGCGCGCCGCGATTATCGCCGCGGCGATATCTCTCAGCCTCTGCGTTTCGCGCGCGTTACGGATAAAAATTATTGCACAAATTCTTCGGTTCTACAAATCTATTCTTGTTTATGATACCGAGTCTTGCGTCATCTTATCAAGCTTGAGGTACGCGCGCGGCAGGTTGTGGTGTCGAGGAAAACGCGCGACGCCTGTGTTATAACAAGTCTATGACATTATTGGCGCGACTCTGGCACGTGCGTGTTATTAATGCGCGATCTTTTTTTTTCTCTCTATCTCCTCCGATCTGATTAACTAAACACGTCGAATCGATGCGCGATAGACACGCTTGTTCATTCCGCCGGTGTTTTAATTCTTTTGCGAGCACAAATGTTTCGCAAGCAAAAAGAAGAATTGCTTGCGTGATTAAATTAATTAACGTTCGAACGGAACGTTGTGGCATTTTTAAACTTTCGGCGAAAGAAACTGGGAGTTTGAATAACACTCGAAGGAACTAGTTTCACAGATCGAATACGTTGAGATAAATATCCTTCATTTGTCAGACTGTCGGATCGGGGCGACTACTGCGATAATATTCATACGAAACGTCTTATTCTCGTCGCACGTGCGAAATATTTTATGACACAAAATATTACACGGCACTTATACAAAAGAAAGTTGACGCGATGCATAAAAATATTCAAATTGTAAAGAAACAGTTGTTGACATGTCTCGAAACACATATGGCAAGAAAGCGCGCGGCGTGTTAATTAGCGGGACAACGACGACGTATCGTAACGCACGCTTTCTAATACGAGTATACTCACTTCTTCTAGCCTTCTATCACTCGAGAATCTAATTAACATTCGTTCTGGTTTCACTTTTTAATTATTATGAAACCTGAACAATGTCGCGTGTCGCGTCGAGCGCTGACACTCGAGACGACGAACGCGCCGGACATCACGTCAATCTCATTTCGCTCTCGTCTCGACTAAAAAAAGAATATTCTCACACGGTTTTTGAAAAGATCGCGCGAAATTCAAAGAACCTTCTTGTTTCGCTTGTATTTTCGGCGGCTCGAAAATTCATTATAACGCCACAGCCGCATTAGAACGTACAGTTTCTTTTTAAATCGACGAAAATGTATCAATTTTTTGTAGAAAAACAAGCTTTTGAGAAAAATCTAAATAAAATAAACCTTAAATCAGTCAATCAGTGGCAGTCTGAATTATATTTATAGGAACTTAGCGGAGAAATCTTTTGTTCGTGAAGTTACGGACAAAAAATGTATTTTTTATTTATTTTTACTTATATAGATTGGCTGAAGATGATCGCAAAAATGATCAAAACATTCTAAAGAATGATAAGATTTTTCAATTTCTTTTATCTTATAAATCTCCGACGGACTTGAAGATTTATTTTAATTTTACATTAATTTCATGTATATTTTAATGTTGAGATTTGAAGAATTTTTTTTTTAAGACAAAAATGAAGCTACAAGAATGAAATCAGTGGCAGACAGATGTAGCGCGATGTGTGAGATGCGACAGCGTATCACGGACAGGGAGAAACGTAATTATTGGTACTTGGTCACTGATGAGATGATTGGCTGTCACATTAGCGCAACGCGTGGGAGGCTCAGGGTGCTCCATCACGGACTCTCGCGGATCCGTAATTCACCGACACATATACGTAGGAGCCGAAACCAAATATACTCGGGTCTCTCGGGTTTCTTTATTTGAAATTTTGCGCATTTCCCCGGCGACAGATGCAAATACGATACGCGCGCCGCTCGTAAAAGTAAAAGCAGCGCCACTTTCCGCGGCTAAAGCTATACAGCGAATAATTAACGAATCCGCACGAACAGAGAGAAAGAGAGATAGAAAAAAACACACGCGTAATATCGCGCGCAAAATTAATATCTATGTAAATTAATATCCACCCTATTTTTTGTTTCCCAATCTCTCGAACGTAAGAGCGACTTACTTTGCGTTACGTTATTAGCGGAGGTTCGAAACGACTTAGAAAGTTGTCTCTAATCGTTCTAATCGAATAAATTTGCCAAGCTCGAGCTTGTGTTGCTCGTGTTTGTCTCTCAGAAACTTACCGCGAATAGAATTCAAACGCGCGAATTAAGTGGGTTAAGTGTGAATTGGAAATACCGCTTATTTTCGAGAGAGGAGAAAATTCACTCGGAGACGAGTTATATTTCCGTTTCGAAGGAGAAGAACTTGCAATTAGCCGCCGTCTGAGTGTGACGTTTTCTCCCATCGTTCATCGATATCGATTAAAAGAGTGAAAAATATGGTGATGACGCGCGAACGCGCGTTTAATAATTGGAACGGAAAGAAAATTCTTGAAAATTCTACGATCGCGCGAGAAAGAAGACTTTCAGACTGTTCCTCCGTGTGGAAATTTGTTCGCTTTTTTTTTCCTCCGTACGATCGGACAACGCGATCACGAGGGAGGCAAGTATTTAGGGCGTACGCGGTTAGCACCAGAAAATGCATTAATTCGCATGACGCACGCGCAGCGCGCACACGTCCTCACGTACTCCTCAAATGCCTTAAATTAGGTCATTTTGGCCGGTCGTGACGACCAGCGTGTTCTTCTTCTTCTTCGCGCGCACTTTTTGTACAGGATATATTGTATCTCTCTCACCACGTCGCGCGATCTTTCGTTTCTCTACATTCTTACGAGAGATGTTTGTTTTTGTCCTGGAAAAAAGTTGAAGGTTTTACACTTTTTTCTGTCTTCAATAACGTGCCGAAGTTCAGATTAACACGTCGAACGCCACGTCATTCGTAAGTGGGTGACGGTTTTGTTCCAAATAAAACAAATGTTTACGAAAAGGATTTGCGAGAAATTGTTTATTATTGTATATTTAATAGTTTTTTTTTTTTTAACAATTTATATATTACATAAAATTAACGACCTCGCAGGCACCTTATTCGATTCGGTGTTTAACGGTGTTAAAAATTACGTATCTAATTTTTTTTTTACAGAAATTTGATTCTTAGTTTGTTTTTGGTTTTATATAATAAAATTTTCTTTCGGCGAAAATATTGGAAGCGGTTGTCGCTCTAATTACACAACTTTCCAGTTTTGAAACGTGTGTGTAAAAATGGAAATCTTGTCGACAAATCCGCTTGAAAGATTGAGAAGTACGCGATTTTATTCGTCCTTTTGAAGCTTAATTTTCGTTCGTATATTTTTTAATTGTTCGCAAGAAGTGTTCGCGACATTGTCTCTGCGAAGAAGATCGTCGATTTGCTTAATTGGCCGAAAGATCCGTGTACGTAGTTTTCTAACAAGAAAACACACTCGCGATAGTTGCTTCGTGACACATCGTGACGTTGTGAGTCAGTTTGTATTTTCGTGTCCGATGTTCAAACACCGCGTCGTTCGCTTATCAGTCTCGCTATTAGGCTCGAATAGTCGTGATCAATCTGGCGGAACAAGTCTCTGGTGAAACCGAACACGCGCGGTATATACCCTTATTAGTCCTTTCACCTGGTGACCTGATTTTTCACCGCGCGGCTTTCAATAAGACGTCGTGGCGGCGCGCCTGTATAACGTTTGAAGCCGGTGTCGAACTAAAAATATCTTTATATCCGTTCAACAGGTGTTCGAGATAAGAATGTCAACGTGCGAACAAGGAATCCTCGTGCTAGATGTGGCTAAGTCTAAACACTCGGCAGACCGGGTTATTATTCATACGGGCGTCGTGTCTTCGCGAATATACGCGATGCGACGTGCACGCAACGTGATTATCGCGCTATAAAGACGTTCTCGTTTGGATGGATCTCGGACGAGGAAAGACAAGCAACTAATTCTCGACGAGTAGTTAAGACCGGCGCGGTCGATATATTTAGTCTGTAGTCCATCAATTTTGGCACGCGGAAAAAAAAACGGTTTTGTGTCTGTGAATTCTTAAAATGTAATTCGCTCTCTTCGCGCGGTTAAATTTTCATATACGCGCGATCGAGCTCTTCTTCTTGACTTGCTTGTGCCACTTGCAATCTCGCGAACTCGAAAATTCCGATTTGAAACTTTGCGCGCGTGTAGAGCGTGCAAGCTAAATTACGTGTAAGGTAAATTAGACGAACGTAGAAACTTTTATTTACCGCAAATAACAGTGTTTTTTTCACATGAGGGGTGGTTTCATCCTTTAGAATCGTTTTTTGAGCAGCAACTGAAAATTTCTACATTTATTTATTTATCCTTTCTCTCTATACGTGTGCAAAGTTTCATCAAAATCCGAATTTTCGCGAGATCCCCTTGTTAGTAGAATTTTAGATTCCCCGTTGGGAATTTAAATTAGTAACTCTCTGTCTGCAGTTACTTCGAGGTCGCTGGTTTTTTTTTTTTTTTTTAAACCAGCTCCATTTGAGATGCACGCGAAATGAGCGCCTTTGTTCTGTGACGTCACATTTTTTTTTTCCGACGCACAACGAGACGAATCGTCGAGAATCCAAGGCGGCTGCAGATGCGGCGTTGACGCCCTGCATATAAAGAAACGTCTATCGCCGTCATTCCGATCTGCCTCGTGTAACTCGATATTCCAGCACGGAGAACATGTATAATCGGGCTTATAAGTATTCCAAGTACCGCTTGCGAGCCATTATGTCATTCTCTTATATATATATATATATACATATATCGGGCATGTTTTGTAGCGACGACAATAGAGATCGCATAGATACTAGGCGACGAACTTCACCGGGAATTGACTCTCTCGACTCTTAGTCAATTCGTTACATTTATGTGTGTGCTAATTAGGTGTATCAAATACGCGCGCCACGCCAATTAAGACTAAACCGTGGAATAGCGTGGCGATTAAGACTGGAGACGAACGTTTTGATATGCTAATCTATGAAAATACAATTGTGTTTTTCGTGAGTTCGCGGATTGAATTTTAAAGACGCATTATCGGGAAGAACTGTTTCTTCTCGTGTGGAACATATGGTATTCGCAAATAATAATACTCGAGAGAATATTTAGCGATTATATAGCGATTTTATAAAAAATAAAAATTAATGTAAAATTTAATAAAATTTAGTAAATTTACTAAAATAAATGTAATAAATAGTAAATTAAAAAAATAGTAATTTAATAATTTAATGAATAACTGTAAAATTTATATCGCAACGGCGTATATTTTATCTGTTGCGCGTGTTACACGCGAATATTAACACGCGTTAATTTGTTTCACGGTATTAACCGCGGTGTAAAAAAAAACATATATTCTATACTTTACTTTATCAAAATTTATGTGCGCAATCTTATTTAAATGTATACACAACGCGCGCTTATATGCGAAGTGAATATCGAATTCATTAATATTACACAAAGACAAATTTGCATTCTCATCGCACTGTTTATCTCGTTTCACAGAACAAAACAGACGCTGATGTCATCAGGATGATCGCCTACATTCTGATTGCAGCTGGTGCCCTTACGTTTATCGTCAGTTTCCTTGGATATTGCGGCGCCATGTTCGAGTCCCGATGTCTTCTCTGTGTCGTAAGTTCGTTCTGATATGAAAACTCGTTTCTGCGCGCGTTAACAAGAACCAACTTGTTTTGAAATCCGCAATCCACATTTACATAACACCCGCGTGCGCGGATACACGTTTAAAAACAAATTTTTTTTACTGCAAACTGTCCCCGCGTGCGCATATCTCCGAGAGAGAGAAGTAAGTTACGTAAATAGAGAATTTTCTGTGATTGCAGTACGGCATTCTAATCTTGCTGGTTTTAGTCCTGGAGTGTGTGGCTGTTGGCCTCGCGTTTGGATACAAAGGCGATGTGCGTATATTTAATAACAATCGATCGAAGTAACGGTTTACGATTGTTTTTTGTTTTTCTGATAATTAACGCTCACACGTTACGATTGGAGTTGTTGTCCAATCGGACGTGTGTTTATTTTTAACGATTTGTTAATGGAAAATTTGTGCAGGCCGAGAAAGGTACTCAGAACTTCTTGAAGCAAACCATCAAGTATTATGCCACCAACGCCGATAAAGCCGAAACTGTGACGGTCGCGTGGGACGGTATCATGACTCAGGTAAAAAAAAAAAAAAAAAATCTATTACCGATTATCGTTAATTAAACTCGCTTTTTCATTGAAAGCCGCTGTGTGATTAATTAAGCTCTCGACGAGTTCTCTCTCTCTCTGTTGGCGAAGAAATTAATGCGGTGCATCGATTCTTCCGGGATTTTCAATCCAATCAGGATGCACAAACGCGATTAATTTGCCAAGTGGCTCTGCCGTGCTGACTGCACGGCTGGTGCTCTAGCGGCTCGAGTGAAAGTCGCTTGAAAATATGAATGAACTATATCGCGCGTTTTTTTTACCTCTCGGTGAGATCAAAACGCTCGATTTGAGTTCTGGCTTAGGAACTTTCGTTACGAAAAGCGCGTTACAAAAAATTGTCTTTTTTTTTAATGATTGATCAAAACAGAAGTCGCTTGACGACAAAAATGCGAGGTCGAGCGCAGGTGTCTGATATCGATGAAAATATGTGCAGTTTCATTGTTGCGGCGTGGAGAATTACCGAGACTTCAGTGAAAGTACGAATTTTACCACATCCACGAAGGTGGTGCCCGACGCCTGCTGCGTAAAAGAGACCGACGGTCGTCTGAAAGATCCTCTATGTCCTATGAGTCCAACTTCGTCCAACTCATACTACGAAACGGTAAGATATGTCATTTCTCTTGCGGAATGACTTGTTTTTTTTTTTTTATTACAACGTAGAAACGACCATTGTGGAAAAAGTCAGGTGCGTCAATTTTAGACGAGCGTGGACGAGCAGGGACCCGCTCTATTCGCTTATAAAAAGCACACTTTCTCCTTGACAATTTTCTGAGCGTGACTCGCTATTGACATTGCGTGCTTCCATGCCGTCTCACGTGCATGAAGATGTGTTCGAACAGATAAGCGCGTGTTGCACGTACAATAAAAAAAAAAAAAAAAAAAAACCGACTGTACGAGCTTCGCTAAACTATGTTTTCATCCGTAGTTTCCTCGGTAATGGTTGAATTTTGGTTTTTAATTTTTAATTAACTAAATTAATTCAGTTTTAAGTGCAAACTGTCATTGCCGAGTCACAGTAGTCGATATCGCGCACGGAATATAAGGTGGCTCTTATTTACTCTTGATGAAAAACTTTTTTTTTTTTTTTTTGAAGTTTTTTCGCAACACTCCCGAGAATGGAATCGCTGAACAATTTAATCTGTGAAAAAATTCAGATCGGACGAGAGGAAAAGGAGACCCCTGGGTTCTCAAACATTAAAAAAAAAAAAACTATTTAAATGCATAATGAATCGATTTTATGCATTTAAACAATCGTTTGACCATTTAATGGCTTAGAAGCTCTTTTTTTCTCATCCGAGGGCTGAACTTTTCCACGGATTAGATATTTTTTTAGCGAGCGGAACTATTCTAGAGAGCGTCGGGAAAAAAAATTCGAAAATCGAAGATAAGAACCACTCTAGTGCGGAAGTAAAGTTTATTTGGATTTAGTTAAAAATAAACACACACACACACACACATTAATACACGCGGGATAATTTGTCCGTGTTTAGTCTCCTCGAATTGTTCGCTCGGACGAGTTCCAGAGATTGGCTGCGAAGAGAATTTTTGGATGTAACGCGTTTCCCGTTTACGCGCGCGGTACAAATAGTAATGTGTGCGTTTTGCTTGTTCGCAGGGTTGCTACAAGGCCATAATGACCGCCATCGAGGAAAACGCGGCGATAGTGATCGGTGTGGCCGCTGGTCTGGTCTTCGTCGAGGTCTTGGTCATTATTCTGGCGCTGTATCTCGCCTGCTGCTACTGGCGTCCACAACATGGTAGGCTCGGTGTTAAAGTCATTTACTAAAAAAAAAAAAAAAAAGAGAAAAAAAAAGTATCAGATTGATTATAGCAAAACAAAAAAAAAAAAAACAAAAAACAAAAAAAACAACTTACAATTTTCGCTGATCGATTTTCTCGACTGGTTACTTGGATGAGCGGTTTTTTTGACGGTGAAAAAAAAAAATGTGACCTCTTTGACACTTTGCAGTTTATCGATGCGTAGAACCTTCTGGCAAGGAGTAACCTTCGAGAGCAGAATGTGCTAAGCTTTCTGCCAGCAGTTCTCTTTTGAGACGCGGTTCTTTTTTCTTTAAGGACTTCACGAATACCTCGTCCATATTCTATATGTGTGTATATATGTGCGTATGATACACACACATACATGCATATATATATATTATATATTATATATTTACTCATAATCAATTTGTCCATGTATACGCATATGTATGCACACGCACGCATACACACACACATGCCACTCATATGTGTACATGTATATGGAGGTACATATACGTGTACATACGTGGGGTTTTTCGTTGTATACATTTTCCACTTCGGGAGCGGCGATGCAACGTCGCGTCGGACGGGCGTCGCGCGCTTCCGTTATCACTCAGCACACAGTCTTCAGAACTTGTGGAGAGAGTTTGAAGGGTTGTGCGAATCCGAAAGCGATTCGCGAACATTCGCGCGCACATTTGTACGAGGACGTGATTCGTCGTACGGATCGTTTTCGGTTGTCGCTGTGCGCTTCGAAGCCCTCTGATCATCCGTCGTGACACGCCAAATGTATTAAATCATATACGCGTTGAGCGGAAAGCGTAGAGGAAGTTTTCTCTGATACGTTCGACATATCGAATCGAATTTATCTGTCGCATGTGCCAAATCATCGCGTCGCGCCAGATCAGTCGCAGGAACTTTTTGACTTGAAAATGGTCGTTGAATGAGCGCTTTGTGTTCAAGGTGCCAATTCGTTGAACAAACACACTCGATGCACAATGTGTTTTTCTTCCGGATTTGAATACCAGAGGAACAAGTAAAGGAAACGCTCGCCGGTGTGTGACGCGAGGAACGTCAGTTCGAATACGTAAAGATGTTTTCTTTTTCCTTTCCAAGTGTGTAATCAGCACAGAGAGCATTTAATTTCTGTCCGCTCAGCGCGCGCTTTAACGTCTCAAAATGATCAATATCAATATTTGTATTCAATCTCGATATTACACCGTGCCGTGCAAATGCTTTTAAGCTTGAGCGAATAACGACCAATAAAGTACATATCGTGCCGGAATATATTTCCCCGGGGCGCTAACAGAGAGAGTTTTGACGACGTCCAAGTTTTCGCGCGAAAAATAAACGCAAAGATAAACGTTCGTAGTATTTTATTTTTTGGTTTTTTTTTTCTTTGGTCTCTCACCACAAAGTTTATGATCGCTCGATCGAATCTTTTTCTCAGGATTCTCGTGACGGACGTGTGAATCTCTGTCGTACGATAATTACTATCGCACATTTTTAGTATCACATTCCGTTCTTCACACACGCACGCACACACACACGAACGAACGAACGAATTTTGTCGTACGATTTTTCTGTAACGTTTGTGGAACGATCGAGCCGAATCGAATACCTACAGTTGTTGTTGTTAAAAACAAAAAGTGCAGCACAATTTCACGGATAGGTTTTCCGAGAGTGAGAGAAAAAGAACGCGTGTCCTCCGGCGCGTGCGCGAAATACGTTAGAATATTTTTTATACCAATGTACATACATACATACGCATATATATATATATGTATATATATATATATATATATATTTCTCTATCAGATGTGATCACACAATCCATCCTCTATTAAAGCAGATCTTCTCCTCAATTGAAAGGCATTGACAAATGGACGTTCTTTTAGCTTGTGTAGACGTCTCGTCGAGACAGGCCTGGTGAGGTGCTGAAGTAAAGGATGATTTTGATGGGGTTTGCTTTCAAGTAAGATGAAGCTGTCGCTTACATTGTTGACAGCCGAAACCCTTCTCTCTCTTATGCTGCCGCCTCGCAGCGTCTAGATCTATCATTCTACAAGGCAGTGTAATTTTTTTTTGTTTTGTTTTTTCGTTTTTTTTTTTTTTTTTCCACAAATCTATCTCAGGCATGGTAGCTTTTTGCTCTCTCCTTGCATGGTCATGCTGTTGTATATAATTTGACGGAGACAGAAAGACCGATTTTGTTATGGTGTGGCGCGCGAAGATAGAAAAGAGAGAGAGGTCCGATTGCATTTACGCCACGAGCAATTATATTTGTTTTTTAACTCGAAATGAAATACCACGAGATACGCAAAGAACAAAAAGGCGTATGGTGTACGCAAAAGTAGTTTTCAGTGCGCATTAATAGTCGATTGTTTTCCAATCCGAACTATCTTTCTTTGATTATCCGCTATGGTGCATATTTTCGGGAAATGTTGAACCTCACGCGCATACGCGCGTGACGGTCGTTTTCTTTTATTAATGCGCACTATCGCACAGTTTTCCGAACGAAACAAAATGCCAGACACAACAAAACTCGTTTGTCACGTCGCAAATGAGATAATATGCAATTGGGCCTATAACTTGCGTATAAGTTTTAGCCTGTAAGTTTAGCCTTCATCTCACTGTTTCATTCATTCGATTATTACTTACTATCGGCTAGTGGCACAAACGATGTGGAGCACACACACACACACACACACACACAAAGAGAGAGAAAGAAACACACACAACGAAATTCTACTCGGAATTGTTGTGCTCAATAACATACGTAACATTAACATGTTTCCTTTACGTTTCCCCCCTTTTCTGTCAGTTAGTAGCTTATAGCAGTTCTATTCTCAGTGTGTTGCAAAACGCTATAAACGGCATCTAACTCATGTACATCCGCCGAGATCACAAAAAGTGGGAAGGAAATTCTCTCTTCTCACGTGTAAAAGGAACACACACAAAAAAAAAAAAAATAAAAAACGCGCGGCTATAAAATTGAGACAACGTACAATTTCCGAGAAGAAGCCCGTTTTTGAATCTCGACGAGAAGTCGATAATGTGTGTTATAGTTCATACTTTCAATGTTACAATACTGTTATTAAACACATTCTCTACGTACGTACGCGCACCGAACACACGCAGAAGGTGAAAAAGAAAAGAAAAAAGAAACTCCGAGAGATCGACGGAGAAATGACGAATCGAACGCACAATAGTTGACACAAATTTTTTATTGACTAAAAAATCGGGTTTTTTAGAATATATTGTTTTTATATACTTTTTTTTGTACGCAATATACCGATACGATATGTAGAGAAACGCTGAGTACAAGACAACTTCTAACTCTTCACATTTTTGAAGAAGATAACCACCGAAGAAATAAAAAATTAACGTTGCTGTTACGTGTCGATACATCAATAAAAAATAAAAAAAATGCCAAACTATAATGTACAAATAATTTTACGGTTTCTTTCCTCGTTGTCTTGAACTTTTGGACGATGTCGTTCAATATCCTTTTCGCGGAATCGTGATGCAATATTGCAGAAACGCTAGCAACATTGCAATTGTTTATTTGTTTTTTTTTTTTTAATAAAACGGACGTTGTCAGCAGATAAGCACACGCTTGTTTTGTGTAACAGAATGTTACTAATGCGAATTTGCGAATCTTTCTTTGAGAATCTTTGCTGTTGTTGCAACGATTGCGCGACACAACGTAACGATTGTGCGATATCAACCTTGACTCTTCTTCTTTCGTGTTCAGCGTGCGCGTACGTACATGCGGTAAGAAACGCTAATCTAATTCGAACTGTCATTCGAATTTTAATTGATGCTCTTTACAATAGCTACTAATTGTTCATGCCGCACAGTCTAGACATTTTCGTTTCCAGTGTTAACTGGTTGGTGCTGCTGTTGACGAGGCATTAAGAGCATGGAACTGTTGAGTAGTGCCTCCTAGCACGTTGAGCCTGTAGAGTGCTCCTGTGCCTTGCTTGCTTGAAAGCTCTAGCTGCTAGCCCAAAGTCCTAGGCTAGCTGAGAAGTCGGCCGACAGAAAAACCAATCTTGACGCTTTTGAGTTGACGAAACGTTTCGGAACCAAAAAAAAAAAAAAAATAAACAAAAACAAAATATACGCGCATTAATTAGCATAGAAGAAAAATATCGTGGCGACATGTGTCTCGATTTTTTCAAAAAAGACAAGAATCGGATCGATTTAATCTTAAATGTTTGTGTAATGTTCATCTCTTTGTGTCGTTATTTGTATATAAAACATATTATATATATATATCTATATAACGCGGCGACACAAAGTTCGCGTCACTCAACGTCACTGCAAGTTATTAATGGATAACGTTTCGCTAATTTTTCGCTAAATGTTTATTTACATATCACGAAGGTACAAGCGTTTAAAATTAGTTTTACGGGTTTTTTTTTCTTTTCTCTCATATTTTACTTCTCCCGACTCTCGTCGTCGTCATCCGCGTACGATTTATACGACGAAAATAAAAATTGTCACGTCGGTAACAAGTGAAGTAGATGTGTGTACATATACGCGCAATATATATACGATGATATATATTCAAATATTTTCATAAACGCATTTTAGATGCTTGTATCATAATGTAACCTAAATATACTCACACGATATATATATATATATATTTCGTCCACGTTTTCAGAGAATTAGACACTCAAAGATAAATTTAATGAAATATTTCCGCGCAACGAAGAACAACGCAGTTCTCAGCAAAAGTCTATTTTTGTCAAATACATCAGTTCTTCCTCACATATGAGATTTTGATCTTATTCTCTAGCGGTATTACGTGCATTTCCTTTGAAATAACAAACTATTCGTTTGTTATTTAATATTTGTTCGCGTTCTCGTTACGAGGAAATGTTTCATTGAGGATATTCCTTTTTTTTTTCTTTTTTTTTTTGCGAGAAAGAGAGACGAGAAAAGAGGTACGTGCAAAAGTGTGTAAACTGATTTGATGTAAAAGTTGTCATTTGATATGCTTGGACTTCATCCTGATGTATGCTTCTAGCTTTGTATTTCCTTTATATGTGTACCTGGTTAAATTGTCAAATATACATATATATATATATATATATACATACATATATATCAGATAAAATATCGGAGAGATGGAAATATATGAGCTCGTCATTGCTAGCATAGCATAGATCAGGAGGGACATTTTTTTACACCTTTTGAGTGTCTCACACAAGATTCAGAATGTTAGGCATTTACGTTTTTCTTTTTTTTTTGTTACTTGCTGTGTATGAAAATGTGCTGCACATCATTGTTCCTGATAGAGGAATAAAAAAAATTAAAAAAAATAAAAATAAATAAATAAATCAAACCTCCTTTTACCTCTGACACACGAGAACGTTAAACTTAAAAAAAAAAAAAAAACAAAAAAAACATATACATATATCAAAAAAAGAATTATATATTTAGCACGCGCATACTTATATATACATCACGCAGAGATGCATAAATTTTCAAAGTATAAATTCTAACAGATTTTATGCATCTGCATTACATAAATGCAGTAAACGAAGTGTAATCACAGAAATTGGAGGATTGAAGTATTCCTCATTGAGACTCTCGGTAGCTGATAGTTTCACGAAACTGCGATAGTCAAGCGCTTGTTTTCTTTTTCCTTTTTTTTTTTTTTTTAATGGTAATGTGCAGATTTAATTTAGACAACGAGAACACACGTTTTTTTGCATGTAACATGCACTCTATACAGATAATTTATATTTATTTTTACATAATCTCGCGCTTAGTATGTATTTGTCAGGTATATTTTTTTAAAATGATGTAAAGGTTCTTTTTATTGCACTTCGATCCCTATACGCGAATAAAGAACAAACGGGACGACGATGTGTGGTTTTGAAGTAATTTCGATTTTTTTTTTCTCTCGATTACGCGCGTAAAAGCGCCTATGCATATTTCAGTCTCTGGTCTTCAAATGAGACGATATACGTGTGCCGATATTCGGCGACAATGCAATTGCTCTCGAGTTACAAATAGGGATAAACTGCAATACAGACAACCTGACTTTGTTTTGTAACAACGCTGTTTAATATATGTGGTTACATAATAATGAATGTGTATAAACAAAAAAAAGTCAAAGACAAAAAAAGAGATATTTAAAATCGAGAAAAGATATTGATGTATAAACATGTAAGTCCCGTAAGTGTGTATAAGACGTCAGTTTAGAATCTCACGTAGAATTTATGGATAAACAAAAAAAACAAAAAAAAATGTCGACAACAAAGTATTCAATGTGACAGATTTATGTGTTTATTCTGGGAAAATTGTTGCGATCAACAAGTAAAAAACAACTGAATATTAAGAGAACAAACGCGTACTGTAGTGTATCACTATGCTATATAATGTAATAAAATTTAGTTTCGCGTATATATATATATATATTAACACAATAACACACACATCTACATTATATATATATATTATACACACACACACACACAAACAAACAAACAAGTATCTTTTTAGGACTAAACAAAAATACAAAAGAAAAGCTATATACTATGGAAAAAAAATTATTTTTGAAAACTTATGTGTGTAATTACGATGTTGTACGATATAAGAGATAACAAAAAAAAAGAAACAAAATACGAAAATGAAACAAAACAGCATAAAGACAAGGTCAAGAGAGTGCATCGTGTATTTTTCGGCTTGAGTTCAAGATTTTTTTATAATTCTTTTTTTTTTTTTTTTAATTATTATTATTATTATTTCGATGCAGTTAAGAATTACTGTGTGGAGATAATATTATATAGGTGAGATATGTATTCAAATCTTATATACAGAGACTGAGAGAGATACCTGACCTAAAAAAATGTATATATATATTTGAGATGCGATTATCGATATATATACAACACAGAGAGTTGTATTCCAATATATACATTTATTATATTAATTATGAGTATACTGTACAATTGTGTGCATATATTAATGATGTAGTATGATTGAGTTTTTTGTTAAAAAAAATGTTACATGATTTTTGTAAAAAAACAAAAAACAAAAAAACGAAGAAATTGTGTACACTCTTTCCACAGAGAACTAAAAATAAAAAAAAAAATTTTATATCATTCATAAGTGTGAATCGGATGTAAAAATACACGCGCGAATTGTGAATTGTGTTCCATTTTATTTGTTCACACTTTCAATGACGATTTCTCGATTGAAAACATCGCGCGATCCGTACGTCGCTCAAAAACAAAATCTGAACAACAGCGTATTTGAGAGAAGGACTTTTCCGGTCCTTCGCTGCGAATCATATTATTCAATTATATCTCGTGGTAAATGTTTTTCCGCTTCTCTGATGTCGCAAATTTTCAATATAATGATGATTGCGCAAACGCGCGCGGAAGTAGAAACGAAGAAGGAGTCTCCGATTGATCTTTGTAATATTAAAAAAAATATAATACAATATAAGGTTTTATTTGTATATTAAAGTTTGTATATTAAATTACATTGTGTTGATTATAAAATATGCTACGTTTTTACTCGTCGCAAACACGTCTGATGATCATATACACGTACGTACATTTTTTACAAATTTAAATAAAAACCTTGGCGATCCACACCAATGGTGAGAATAAACAACAAAAAAGTAATTTTATTTTATTAAATTATTTACATTGCTAAAATGACTTTTCGTTATTATCCATTACCATATTCGATGAATCGTAGCTTTTTTTTTTTTTTAACGAGGTTTTAATTTAAATTTGAATTTCTTTTTGGGAGCTTGTGTTTGTTTGATTGATAATAATTTTACACCTGCGTTCTCGCAACTAATGTCTTTTTTTCTGTAACAACGTCGTAAATCTCACTGTTGCGTAATCACAATGCAAATGTATTTGCTCAGTAGAAAGATACAGATTTGTACTATACTTGTACGAGGGAGTATGTAATATTTTTTCAGATAAATTTTTTACATTGAAAGCGAGAATATAAATACAAAGAAGTCGGCAAGTAAAGTACAATCTCATTTGGATATTACATGAAACAACGATCTATACATGTTTAGCGTCAAGGTGTGATGTGTACGAAGCTTGTAATTGATGAGACACACAGAAAAACGTCTGCGATAATAAATTCGGACGTGAGATTGTCATATGTAAGAACAGTAAGGCAAAAGTACTCTGAAATCGGTGCTTCGTCGTTTGAAGCCTTTACTAGAATATTTACACAATTCTTGCGTTTAAAAAAAAAAAAAAAAAATTAAAACGGCGAAAATACGTGTCCAGAAATCTCGGTACTTTTACCTCAAGTCAACTATTTCACTTTTTACTCTTGTTCGACCTCGGATGACACAGCAAACATACAACAGCTTAGCTCTCTCCTAAAATACCCCGTGTTGAATGTAAATCTTCTTGTCTTGTGGAATAAAACGCGCGCGGATCGTTTCGGCGAGTCCTCTGAATAGAAAACGTCGAAGTTTTACATTTGTCTTTTAGTTCATCCACGTTGGATGACCCGGCAGACAGAGGGGATTAGGAGAGTAAAGCAAGTCCTATTGAGGCGGGCCGCCCATCATGCCCATCGGTGGCATCCCCTGAATTCCGTACGGTCCTTGCGGTGGCCCCTGACCGCCGGCCATGGGCGAGTGCATCTGCATCGCCGTGTTCTGCATCTGCTGAGTGGGAGTTACCTGATTACCAGCGGGTGACGCCACGACCTAAGTAACATTGTAATTTCTTTTGTTTTAAAAATTTGAAACGTCGCCCCGCAGCGCGACTGCGTCAAGAAGCAGAAACTTTTGAAGATAAAATTTAAAGAAAAAACGTAATATTGTGAAAATACACGAGCCAATAAGAAGATAATATATTTTTTTCTGTGTTTGGTCACGTGTGTGTTTGTTACCTGCGATATGATCGGTTCCGACGGTAGCGTAAAATTCGCTAAGAGATCTCTCACAGCCGGGAACAGCGAACATTCCGACTGATTAGCGCCGTATTCTGCGAATCTCTTCAGTTGCATACTGACTGCCGCTAACGGTGAGCTAACGTCTCTTCTGTCCGCTAACTGGGTCACATTCGTGGTGACGTCGTACACGAATGGTAATACCAAAGATGGTGTCTCCCCTTGATACGGTATACCTATCCTCGTTATTTGCAACTAACAAAACATCCGAGAGATTATCTCGATAATCGGTCGAGACCAAAGTATACATAAGTAAAAATACGAAGATGAAGATGTGAATATGAGACTCACGAAAAACAAAATTTTGCTCCTACAAACGTGTACCCCTTCCGTGCCAGGAGGAACGATCGGTCCAGCGGAAGGAGGGATGCGCAGACACAATTGCACGGACCACTTTAATTGCTGCTGCTGCATCAGACTCGGGACCAGTTCCAGCTTCATTATCTGTACGAAATCTTTCAACACTTTGAAACGTATATTGAGCATCTTTCCGAAACCGGACAGCGTGTTGTGTTTGTAAGGCGGGGCGGCCACGCGTGTGTCGAAGAATTTCTCAATGATCTGATATAAAACATGTACAATCGATTATGCAAGATACAAAACTTGAAATAAAAATACGCAAACGTTTGGTTTACCTGCAGTTCCTCCATGCTCCATTGATCTTTATATTCCGGAAGCGGCTGAACTTTGATATGGAGGGACTGGAAGTGTTGTTGATTTAATCCGACCCTGCATTGCAAGCTTTCGACTTTGAAGTGCACTATACCAGGTTCTGTACTGATATTAGTTACCTGTCCACATATATAATGCTTTTTGTTATATTTCTTACCATCATTAGTCTTGTAAATTTTATTAGAATTTTTTATTAGAATTTTATATTATAATTTATATACAATTTATACAAAAATACTTACACACTCATCGGTCTGAATGAAGCGCTGCAGTTGACGGCGCATGTAAACACAACCTAGGAACCGTTCGAGAGGCGACATGTCTGGACCCGGTAGACCGGACGGATGAGGTGAGGGACAACAGAGTAACTCTAGCGCTTCGTGCGTAAGAAGTGTCGGCACGGCACCCGCCCACGACCTCGGCGGCAACACTCGGGATATGTGACTGCCGATTTTGTGGTCGGAGGCCTGCGGGCTGTGCATCGCCGCGTGACCTGGGCTCTGTCCAGGTCTCGCGGGGGAGGGTCTTGGTACACTCGGAGACCCGGGCCAATTGGAAGCGGCTGGGGACGCCATGCTCTGAGAAGACGGAAAAGGACTACCGTCGATGTGACCTACAAGTCGATATTAAATAACACATGTATGTAATACAAAGATAACAAAAACGGATTTCTAATTAAATGCATTACTTTATACAGTAACACATAATAAGTGTGTTGTTCACACCTGTTTGCATGAATGAACTAGCGGGAGAGTGTCCGACTTGAACGTTACTGCAGGGTCCGGGCGACGACGTTGGCATGAGACCAGCCGGACTAGGAACATGCATTGGATTTAAAGGACTATTCGCGACGAGACCTGACCCGGGCGACGGATGTGGCAGCATATTGGGTGTATTTGGCGGCAACGACGGCGGTGACGCCAAATTGAACGAAGTCGCGGGACTGCTTCCGAAACTTTGATGTTGACTAGCCTAATAAGAAAATATTTGAAATCATCCCCTTTTTTAGGGGGGTTGCATTTAGCCGGATAATTTACCTGAGATATATTTGCGGTATGAGGACTGGCTGGTGTATGGGGATTACTGCCTGATGGCGGTGTGAGCGGCGGATGAAATCTCAAACCCTCGCGTTGTTGCGCGGGCGACTGCGGACCGCTCCTGTGATGACCTAAGAAACCCACGTTGCCGCCACCACCGTCGCTGTCCATAGTGACGGGCGACGGTGGATTATCATCTTCCGATTGAGATCTTCTCCTGAACACTGCATTTTCGTCAACGTATTTCGACAAAAATGCCTGTTACAAAAATAATTTATCATTTTTAAGTTTATTTTCTTGTTATCTAAAAAAAAAAAAAAAAAAAAAATCAAGATGTTTCTCACCTTGAGACCTTGTGTAGGCGTGAATTCGTCAACGACGTTACTTCTGTCAAAACGACTGTACGCGCCGTCGCGTAAACTCACCAAGCCTCCACCACGTAGACGCAATTCCAGACAGTACATTCCCTGATACGCGATACGCACCAAAGTGACACATTGTGGCATTATAGTAAAAGTTTGCACTGGCACTCGTGGTCTCTGTGTGGGAAAGAGTTTAGTCGCGTAAAATACGAACTGAAAAAAAAAAAAAAAAAAAAAAAAGAGAGAAACAAGACAAGCGCGCGCGCGCGACACTTACCGCGTGAACGCACAATTGAGGAATCGTCGGCAATTTGCTGATTGACGTAAGCGGTTGAAGCGTTTCGCTAAGTATGTGAATTATTTGCGCTAAATTCGTGTGTCTGTTCAAGTGGGCTTCAAGTTGTTCTTTCATTATAGAATGCGCATTGGTCACTGGATTTGTTGGACCTACACGGAGAGATTAAACTTCCATAGATTTGTCACTGACAGTGTGATATGAAATTAAATTATTAACAGAAACGTACTTCTGCCAAACACCAACTTAAACGCTTTGTCGTTTATGCTCCATTGCACGGTTACGGTCGCACCTTGATTCGGGCCGTACGCAAGAACTAGTTTGCTATAACTGTAAGATTTAACGCTGACCATGTTGCGCAAATTGTATTTCTCTGAAAAAAAAATGAAAAATAACATATAAATTTTAAAATTTGATCAAGCGTACCGTACATGTATATGACTGCGCGACGCACATACCTATTTTGAAATATTCAGCTAAGTCGTGAACAATCGAATACAAGTGCACAATCTGCGCCCAGTCGTTCAATAAGGCGTCTACTGTGCGAGAAACGGTATCGGCCGTTCCCACTTCGTATTGGAAATAGACTGGTCTTCGCAAACCTGCAAGAGATTCGAAGTTCGCTATATTCAACTTCTACTTTATTTACTTTACACATTAAACTCTTAAAATGCAAAAAACTATGAAAAATAAATATTACGACAAATTTTAACGTGAGAAAATATCGGCACCTTGTTCCTTGGGATGACTACTGGATAGAGGACTGCCGTAAAACACGAATTCGACCGTCCAGGTTTTAGCCATACCCTTGCCCTGAACTCGAATCGACACGCTAAGAAGTCTCTTAAGCAGAGCGTGCCAAGCGCCAGTTGTAGCAACGCCTGGCGTTGGTGCGGGCAACTGAACAAGTTTGAGCACCAGCGCCGTGGCATTCGCTTCAACCTGAAGACCTTGATGGGCTATCTCTCGCCTGGTCAGCTGTGCATGTTATTAATATTACAAATAAAAAAAAACACACGCGAAGAAGAAAAATCGATTAAATATAAAACTGTTCTCCAGAGGCGCAAAATTACGCATAAAAAAAATTCAAACGATGAAAAAAAAAACGTCCAATCTTACTTCTTGGGCTAGAGTTACGAATGGTATTCGTTCGTCACACAGAGCGACAACGTGTGCCAATTCAGGAATGAAGTAAGCCGGATGCTTTGACCTTCTACTCTGTGACGTTCCGGCCGCGTCTATCCTGCCAGTGACCCCGGTGCTTCTACGTTTGTTGTTGCTCGTCGTCTCCACCACTTCTGTAATGCACCCCCCATCTTGATCATTATTCCCTAAAAAATCCACCCGTTAATCCCCCTAAAAGTAGCGGCACACGCATTACCAATACCACACTGAATCGCGTGTGTAATGCCAGATGTTAATGTTATTTATTATTTTTACACATATGAGTAATAATCGAGCGTTAGTGAGACTTTTTAATGATAGATAAAGAGAGAGAGAGAGAGAAAGAAAGAGAGAGACAGAGAGAATATTAGTTTCATTCGTTATCGAGGCCACAATACGGATTACACGTATGATTAAACATCACAAAACACAATTATATTCGCTTGCAACAACACAATCAATCAATCAGTCACATAAAAAAACTAGCTAGGCTACATTTATGCCAGGCTCGTGTTTCTCTCAAGTTTTGTTGTACAAGTTTACGATGTGTTTCGTGTGACACACATTCAATTTTTATTATCTCGTGATACGCCAATTGCCCTTCGATTAAACCTCAAATACACTTGGACACATACAATACAGATATGTTGTACGATGCACATAATGTACCACCAAGCAAAAAAACGATTGAAATGATTAGACATAGTTGTTAATAAAGAAACCTTGTGCTAGACGCAAAATTATAAGATCGATTCAGTATATTAGCACGAATCGATACGTTCCCTCAGGGTTTGTAAAAAAACGGTACAAGTCCAAAGTAACGAACAAACAGATTTTACGAAGACGATCATTACTCCGGATGTTTTACAGCGTATTTTACCCCCCGCCCCCCGTTACCTGTGGTTTTCGGACATCTACATGCTGATTTTCAACACATCAAATAAATCACATTTGATAAATAAAAAACGATGCAAACAATCATGTTAACAATCGTGTAATTTTTTGTTCAGAATTCAAGAAACACAAAGATCCGCATTTGTTGAGAAAATGATCAAAGTGTAACAAAATGGAACAACTCAAAAATGAAAAGAGAAAACAAAATCATAATAAAATGCGTAGTATCTAACATATGACACAGATATTCATTACAATATACTTCTTGCACTGATCCACGTGGTACCAAGATATATATATATATTGCATATAAAAATAGAGAGACGCGTACTCACCACTATCCACGCTCGTAAACGGGCCGTGAGTAATGACGAAAGTGTCGAACTCAACGAGACTTTGGATCTTCAAGTACATTTTCGGTATTTCCGTTTCTATACTGTCATCGTGCGGATCGTCTTCGATGGAACTGTGCTTCACTACAGCGAGATAGAAAGAGTATTCTATCTCGCAGGGTGAATTCTCTTTCTCTTTGAACGAAACGATCTGTAAACCATAAAATATTTGGTTGGAAAAACAGTCGCCGACAAAAACACACTTTTTGTCGGTCATTTGAACAAAATTAATGAATATACAAATTTTATAAATTTATAAAAATTATAAGATATATAATAAGTGTACCAGTATGACTGTGGGGTGTCTGTGCAATTGTATAAACATCCGATGTCTGCTGATCTTAGACATGGGATGGTCCGGATGATGCATAACGGGCAAACGTTCGTGAGACGAGGCTGGTAAATGTTGCAACGTTTTCTCGCAGTGTCTCTGCGTTATCCAAAATCTGTCAGAAAATACTTCGCTCGTAAAACCATTTTGCAAAGGCGAAGGTAAATTCATGGAAAATGTTGCAATGTGTTATTCGCACCTCAATTCGGACAAGAGTGTCGGAAGACGCAAATGATCACCGTTCAGGGCTGCTGTCAATTCTGGTATAAGAGGTGCATCATATTGAGGAATGTGACACTGCAGCATACCAGTGTGAGTATCGACCGTAACTAAGAGATACTCGGCGCGCAAACACGGTTGTAAGATCTGGACTTGCAAAAGAGCTGGAGATCCTCCCAAGGTACCTGTTAAACGTTATTCATAAATCTTTATTCGCTCTTTGTACGGCGTGTTGTAGAAAAAAAACTAATTTAAAAAATCAAAGAAATTGTCGACTTACATTCACAATCTTTCAGTATTGTTTGAAATTCTTGCTTCAATTCGTTTAACCGACTACGCGTCCGAATGTAAATTGTGTGTACCAGCAAGCATTCCATCGACAACTGATCCGACCTAATGGCTCTTTGTGCTATTTCATTTTCCTGTATCGCAATCGTTTACTGTTACGATATTTGACAACTGATTTGTTTTTGTTGTGCAACGAAATAGAATTCCTCGAAAATCTTTGTCAAAATTCACAAACTTTGTATTTTTTGTTTGTTTTTACTTTACCTTGTTACCCAACGAAGGAACGTGTACAACCGCAAGAGGTCTCGCTGGATCGTGCTGATCCACTTGAACGGTCAATCTGTATCCAAGTTCTGATCGCGGATCTTTGCTCGTTAATTCCCTAGAAAGATAATCTCACGTGTGAACAGTGAGACGCCGTATATTTTCTTTCTACAAATTAAATTTTCAGATTTGTAATCGCATTACCTCCAATAAGATATAGAGAGACATTTGCCAGCTGTATATTCGTCCACGTGAATACAATCGTCCAATCTGTCCCGGATTAGTCTCAACGTTTGCGAATACAGAACTTCCAATTGCAACGACTGACAAAAATAATGCAAAATGTGATACACCTCCGATAACGAATTGGTACTTTCAGCCAAACGCGATTGAACGACCTGTTTGTAAGTTGCATTTATTGAATTATTATCTTGGAACGTGAGACATTTAATTTGTCCAAACTCTATTAGAACGTTGACAAACCTGATGCACATAGCGAGTTTGTAAGGGATGTACCAATGCTTTTCCGTCTCCGGTTTCTCTATCCGAAACTAAAATTTCTAATTCTAACAATCTCCACGGGACTGTTGGTCCGTCACCCATAACCGTAAGAGACACTGAAAATTCTTGTTCAATAAGAAACGTCACTCTTCCTGCCTCGATCTGTAAATCCCATGTGCGAACAGAAAAATAATAAATTTGCCACATCAATTACAGCAACTTTTAACACAGTTTAAGTGTTTATATAATTTGTTCTTAATTTTTTTAATAAAAATGAATGAGTATTTCACCTTTAAGTTGCGCATCTGCGGTAACAAATTTCCAGTAACTAATCTATGCTGAATGACTTGATTCAGTCTTTGCAGCGTGGTTCTCTTTTCCGCAGGAGTTATAGGATCCGGAGGTACTATTCTTTCCTGATCAAGAATTAACACAATCAATGTATAAATTTTTTTAATTTTACTTCTCGTGCGATCGATATTTTGTTTTTTTCCATCTTTTTTTAAGATGTGCTTACTCGGATGCAAGCTGGTAATCTGCCATACGTCCCGGTAGTAAGTACTTCTACAGCTGCTGGAATATGAAAATTTGGCAATCTAGCATGCACCAAGGTTTCACGAGCCATCCTCGCCAGCATATCCGCGGTATCCACGAAAAGCAGTGACTGTTTATCCAAAAATGCCATAATGTGCTGAAACAAGAAGAAAAAACTTACTGGACTGTAAAACTAATTTTAACTCTTGTGTGCAAATGAAACAGCAAATCTTACCGTTGATTTGTCCACTTTTGACGCGCTGTTTGCCCATTTCACAAGTGCCAGTAAACGAACATACAATTGTCTGGTTCGCGCGGAAAAATTATAAATTTCAATCTTACGTTCCATGTCTGTCTTCCGAGGTAATCTAAACAGAACAAATGAGAGTCAAGATCGGACGATATTGTAGAGCTTCTAGCTCTCTGTTGAGACAATCAAATACCTCGTGTACTTACAGTTCAGCGAGAACAGTTAGTTCATGATATGTTCGTTGAATAATAAAATCTATGAGCATTCCCAGAGAGATGGAACCACCGCGATTACCTTCCTGCGGGATATTGTTTGTAACAGGAGTTTGGTGGCCTTCCAAAGGTACTGGTGCCATTTTTATGGTGTTTCCAAAGACCACTAGTATGTATCTTATTTTGACAATATCTTGCACCTAAATAATCATATCAACAATGTGTATATCCACATATATTTATCAATAAATATTGCTATATACAATAATTACGTGCAATAACTAAAGAAGTGATTACAAATATATACTTTACACACACAGAAAGAGAAAGTGTGTGTATGTGTTACAAAATTTTAACAAAAATATTTATTACACGCACGTCAGTAATAATACAAATTATTCGAGAATATAAAATTCGAACTTGCCTAAATTTTGTTCTCACAATGAATTTACGGCGATCGAAAACAATAAACCACCGCTGATTTCCATTTTACGAAGCGAGCAAGCACGGAGAAATAACGTGAATACAACAGAAATTCGCGAACCAGGCGCGGATCCCCGAGGGCGAGGAGAGCGGTTTCTCCTCTAGCTGTCAGTAGCGCTAACGAGCGCTTTATCAACTAACTATAGCAATCTTGAGAAACTGCGTCGATAATGAGTATCTGCAGGACTCGGCCGTTTCGGTTCTTTTCGTCGTTATTCGGTTCTCATCAGCGTATGTTCCGCTGTTTCGGATCATCACCGGAACGATAGATTGTCTGCGGACGAGTAAAAATTACTAAACAAAAACCTGGTTGAGATCTCTTGTTGTTTCTAATAAATCATCTTTTATTTAAATTTAGTACGCGTTACACATTATTTGCTCGGTGTTTAAATATCGCTATTACAATGTATTATTCATTACATATAAAGTATCGCTGTATCCGTAATTACCAAAAAAAAAAAAAAAAAGTAATTACACGCACAATCAGGAGCTTACCTGCTTTCTCGCTCAAATCCACGCGTTACAAAAAAACTCCAGTAAATATCCATTAGACAGCTCCATGAGAAATCTAACAGATTTCTAACGGAGGTTTTGTTCTGTGTGGGAAGTCGCGCAAAATAATGTTTTTCATTTAAAGTATTATTTAACGCAAACTGCGTGTGGGAAAGCATACACGCCCTTAACTGTACTGTACATATATATATATATATGTATATATATTGCAAAACGTTTATTGTATACTTTATAAAAACATTGGTTTTTTTATATAGTATAAAATATAATAATAATTTTGTTGGCAACAAGACTTTTTATAAAACAGCTAAATTTGTATTGTAAAAGTCTGCAATAAATATACATGGTCTTTCTTGTAAAACTTATTTTCAATACGACTTAACATAAGTAAAACTATAGATAATTAATGTGTACATATTGTGTACGCAATTATAATTGTTTGTCAGTATATATATATATATATGAATGTTTATAAAATTATATATATACTATATATGTTTATAATTTCAAGAAAGGATCCGTTATCATGTTGGGGGTGTCGAAGAAAACTTTCATGTCTTCGATGTAATTTTTCATTTGTGAATAACGTGAATTAATTTTGCTTGTTATAATTGACGAGTTTAAATTTTTTATTTCTCGGTCCTGCAACAAAAACGTTTGATTTTTGTGAGCGCTGCTGTGATTTATACGTTTTAACGTGCAATCTGTTCATTCTTCGTTTTTTTTCTATGATAAATATGATTGTACACACATGTGTGTGACCCGTGTAAAAAAAACAAATAATCTTAAGCCGGTATTCACAGTTGAATCTTACATTTAGATTAGAAGATTAATCTTGATTTATCTCGAGATGTTGTGTAGTCATAGAATATCGATGTGAATACCGACACCTTAATGTTAAGTTCAATAATAATAAATAGTAAGTGCACACACGCACACACACACACACACACACATTAGACTTTATAAAATTCACCTTGATTAATATGTAAGTCAGATCATGCGAACTAACATCTCCCACATAAAGTGTTCCATGTTCAATTTCATAAATTAATCTGTCTATAAATTCACTAAACAGTGTAATCTGCAACGAAAAATTTAAGAAAGATATATATCTAGTAGAAAAATTTAAGAAAGATATATCTAGTAACCAATACCCGGTAAAAAATTTTTCATGTATAAAATTGTATGGACATATTCGGTATATAAATTTGCATAATTAGATATAATAATTTTAATTTGTGTATAAGTATATATGATTATATATCAAAACTGTTTTAAAAATATAGTAAAAATATAGTTTTTTATAATTTTTTGTATCTAACATGATACTAATAGAGTTATTTTGTAATTTGATATGAAATATGATATCTCTGAAGCCATTCTCTTAAAAAAGAAATTCTCCGTGTATAAAATTGTATGGACATATTCGGCACATATAAATTTGCATAATTAGATATAATTATTTTAATTTGTGTATAAGTATATATAAAAAATTTTTTACCGAGTATTATAGAATATAATAATATAATATTATTTTATATTAATAAATAATATCTAAAACAAAATATAAATAAATAATATACATATAAATAATATATCAATAAATAACATATGTTAAATTAATGTTATATTTTTATTTTGTACAATTGTTTGTGTATCTAATATTTACCATGTCAGCTTTGTCCGACACATATATGTGATTAATAATAATACATAATACTGCATTAAATGTTACGTTCCTACAAAAAAAAAAAAAATCAAAAAAATAAAATCGGTAAAGTTTATCAACAAACTTGAGTATATCAAGTATGACGCAACAATCGACTGTGGTAATCATTAAAAATCGAAATATCATGCGTAGATTTTTTTTTTTTTTTTTTTTTATTCACCTGGGTTTAATACTTTCCAGGTTGTTTATTATTTGCCGGAGAACGTGACGATTTCCACCGAGTTTAGCAACTAAAGATTGTAAAAGAATCACTTCCTCGTTTATCGTCAAGTTTAGATCGTCACGTAGATGTGTAACAAAATTTGTGAAATTTCCATTTTCAAAGGTGATAAACGTTTCAATTTGCCTTTCAGATGAGTCGTTCAAAAAACTTGGCGCATGTTCAGTGTGGAGTCTCGCGGGATTATTGATAAATCTCTTGCCGTCCTCGTAAACAACATAAATGCAAGGCAAAGCTTTCAATATTGCGGGATTACGTGTGCTTTTGTATATGCTCAGTAATCTGTCCCAAATATATTTGTCTCCCGTTTGCAATCCCGTGCAATACATCCATTCATCCCACATCGGCAAAGGCGCGCTGTCGTTTCTGCGATATACACACACAAGATTCTTCGTTACACAAGCTCTTATCGAAGTATCGAGTTAGCTTATCTAATTTTAACAACCGATTTGTGAAACATTGCACGCGGAAATGTGAAACCCAAGTACGACAAGCGAGAATCGTGAGTAGATAAAATTAAAGAAAAAATATACTCATGCCTTTTAGAATGCGAAAGAGAATTGTTCAATCTAGCGGTAACCATTTCTATGCATTTTGAGTCATTGAAAAGACAAGCCCATTTTATGGCCTCTTGTCTTAAACATGTTCTAAACTCGTGCTCGTCAGGATCGTTCTCAAACGATATGTTTCTGAGAAGTTCGTTCACGATGTTCGACAAAAAGCGCTAAAAATGATCGAGTAATTAATTTTGTGACGCGTCATGTGTTTATTCGCAAATACATACGTCTTGATCGCTATAAGACGTTAGCTTTATATGTAAGTAAAAAAATAAATGCAATTAAGCAACAAAAAGTGAATACCGTTCTACGACGCTATTTCTCACCTTTATGCCGTCGAGCCACGTACTCGGATACGGAGTGATACCCGAAAAATCTTCGAGCATCCTGATCATGGGATACCACGCTTCATAATCCGTTTCTATCGACAAGTATTGTATGAGGTCCTCGAATATCATCTTAACTTCAACCTGTTTTTCCTTCATGAAATGATAAAAGTCATCGATGATTTGAGCACGATTGAGCACGTGTATTTTCTTATGGTCTGAAGTGCGTAAGTAATGCACGATTTTAATCCAATTATGTATTGGATAGTTGACGCGATAATAACCTGTTGTATAATTAAATAAAATAAGCTTTTATTTTTTATAGTAAAAAATTATTGTACATTTACAATTATTGTACATTTACAATTATTGTAAATTTACAATTATTGTATAGTAAAAAATTATTGTACAAAATTCTCTGAATACTTTATAATTGACTATAAAATACATAAAATATATTAATACTCGCCAATTTGTTGCACATTGCATATGAACCAATTACTGCTTTTGGACACAATAAAAGGAAACGACGTGCCAGGTCGTAACCAGACACTCTCAGATCTTTCTGGCCACGACGTTTCAAAATCGCATCGATTTTCCTCGGTGTAAGTGAAAGGAGTGTAGTAACCGATGTTGTGACCACCCCGAATAAAACTGCCTTGGGATACTCTGTATTCGTCATTGAGAGGTCCTCCGTGTGGAGACTCATGGTTCATCATCAATGGATAATTCTTACTAAATAACCAGTTTGGCATTACATAATACGTGTAATAAAAGGTACTCATACTTCCGGTTATTGTCACGAAATTGTCCACAAAATTATTTAATTTAACTTTCTGAACGGTGGAATATCCCATGAAATATCTGGGACTGAACGTGCTATAAAAAAAATGTATGTTGAAAAATATTGCAGATTATATTTCGAAATAAAACATATATTGGTTCTGTTTTCTCATAGATAAAATGTAATATTAAAACGCATCTTTCTCTACTGATACATAATTAGTCACTATCCAAATATCAATATAATATTTGAAAAAAATGTAAAACTGGATAAAGAGAAATAGCAGACACGAAGAAAAGTTGGGACATAGTGAAACGAAAAAAAGAATTTATGTCGAACATCCATTTGCTTTAGCTATATAAAATAAAGCAAATTTCAATAAATTTTGATTCTACTGAAAAATATTTTATTACGATGTATTATTACTCACCCCTGTTTTAAACTGTTTTGCATACTTTCCCAAAATATGTTTTCGGTAAATATATTTTGTAACATGCGCAATATAGCAGGTACTGCAACAATTTTCATATAGCTTATGTTACAAACTTATTGAATTTTTTAAACGTTCTTCAGTTTTATTAAAAATTTATATTTGTAATTATCTTATTACTTAATTTCATTTCGTTTATATAACAACAAAAATTTTTTTTACATATCGTAGGCATAGATTTGTAATAAATAAAATTTTTCTTTGTATTATTATTTACGTATTCACGAGTCTATGAACGAGATCGTTTCTTTTAGTTGTACCTTTGATGTAAGCGGGAAGAAGATATGTAGAATTAGCAATAGAAGTTTTTGATTCAATAGGCTCCATTAAACCGACGTCCAAATGAAGAGATTCATGTTGAGTTTGAATCACAAACAAATTCATTATTTTTGAATCTGGAATCGTCTGGAAGTAAAAATTTCGATGTTACGAATTGAAGACTTAATCGGGAAAGGATTCAGGCAACACACAACGAGCAAAATAAAATGTGTTCAGCAATAGTTTTGCAACATCTATATCAGACAGATTTGGCTATCAAAAACATTACATATAACAACCTTTTCGAGCGCATATAAGCCAAAAAACTCAGCTGCGCCGTATAACCAAGCGGAAGACCATCTCAACGGGTTAGTGAAAAGAAGAATCCATTGATGTGCCACTTGATGCATCACCAAACGCGCTACATTGTATTTGTGCGCAACCGAAAATTCGTTACGATAAATTATGTCTTCTTCTCTGAAATTCAGAAGTAATGTTAAAAATAATCTCTGAATCGCTGATAGATAATCGCTTTTTTTAATTGCTGCATCGACGACACGTGAATATCGAAATTTACACGCGTTAAAAACATGTAAACACACACACTTGAAAGACTGAATGAAAAAGTGACAAAAAATGTACATATTATACCTATAAAGAATGAGACCTAAAGTTGCGACAGTTTTGTAGGGCAAGAGACCTGAGATTGCGACGTGATTAACTTCGGGAACTCTTAACGACGAGTTTAATCTCTGCTCGTCTTCTAGATATCGCGCGACTCTTCCAGCGATGTCGCTCGCGAAGTCCGTGTAGGGCGCGATGTGGCTTCTGGACCACATGACAACATTGTCGAACGAGGGGTTTCTCTTTGATACGAATTGGGGCATTACAACGACGGCTACGGAGTACGTGGACATTGCAGGAGTGGTGCGGAAGTGCGTCCATATCGTGTCACGTTCGTCTTCCTCGCTCGCTCGTATTGGCATATTCGAGAGAGCCATGTAGGTTTTATGATGTCGCACGGAAATGTTAAAAGTCGTTTTGAACTCCGGATTGTTCCAACATGGAAATACTCTCGGAGCGTCACCTGTCTGAGTACGCGTTGCTGCCATCCATCTGTATAATATGTATATTATTTAACAATATAAATATGTTCATTGTTTATTCCACAAATATTACCCTGATAGGAAACCATTTACAAAATTATGTGACAAAATCTTGCACTAAAATTGTAATTTGCAATTATACAGACGTATTTTAGAAAATAGATGCAAAAACATTGATCTTTTCTGAAATATTTATATGTAGTTGTTTGCAAAATTACTTTCCAAAATACTATTTCGGCAAAAGAATAACGATATGGCGAATCATCTTAGCAGTATATTTGCAAAATTAATTTCACAAAAATTCACAAAGAAATTGTCCAATAATAAAAAGAAAAGAAATTCAGCTATGTGTTACGTCCTGGAGACTCCACGGTCCCCTTTTTCCTGCGACGCGACGCGCCAACGCATAGCGAACCCTTTTTTTTTTGGGTCAATAATAATAAATAACTCGAACGGGTCTCCTATCGTTTGGAAACTTAAAATTCCAGACGATAGGAGAACAAACGAAAAAATTATATCGGCGCCCGAAAAAGATAAACCGCGCCTTTAGACAACTACTCGTGCAGCTTTCCAAACAAACCCGGATATCTCCAGGTCATGAAAACGCCGGTCATAAAAATTAGAGCGGCCGGCGCAAATAGAAACTCCGGCATTTTTATTACAAACAAACAACAAAGGGTCTATGCGGCGTGATCGCAAAAGACAACACTCTCCCTTTTTCCTTCCCCGAAAAATCGGACGAGGCGACCGAAGCGAGAGATCGTCGCCGATTGGCGATCTCGGAAGTCGCTTGACCGACTAATTAACAAATAGGAACCAGCAAAGCTCAACTGAGTTCCCGATTGGGAGAGTCCTCGCTTACTCAAAACGGTATATAAGCCAGGGCTCTCGGAATCGAAAAACAGAAAGAACCGCGCCGCGTGTCTGAAAAGAGCCGATTTCAGTGAGCAAGCATAAGTTACAAGTGCAAGTGCGAATAGTGCGTCGAGAATCCACCGAACACCGAAGCCGCACCAGGTTCCGAACTACCTAGCCAGCCGCACGGGCCGAAGGGAAAGGAAATCGCAGCCAGCAGTCACATAAGTAGTAAGTCCACATAATTATATATACGGAAGTTCCACTTCTCGCGAAACAAAAAAGCTGACGTCGCGATTGATTTTTTGAGATATCGAGAACGAACAAATTAAACAAATCTATAAAAATTCGGAAGGGCTACTCGCGGTGTGTAACCGTCTTGGGTGGCAGCCGAAATTTTGGAAGGGCTACTCGCGGTGTATAGCCGTCTCGGGTGGCAGCCGAAATTTTGGAAGGGCTACTCGCGGTGTGTAACCGTCTTGGGTGGCAGCCGAAATTTTGGAAGGGCTACTCGCGGTGTATGACCGTCTCGGGTGGCAGCCGAAGTTTTTTTTTCTTTTCTTCATTTTCTTCCCTAAACCACGTGGTAAACAAGACTCGACATCTCCGAAAACGGTCGCGAAGCCAATCAATAACAAAAAACAATAACATAAATTGTAATCGCATAAAATTGTTTAAGTGGAACCCCGGCAGAGAATTTCGCGAACGGGTAAAAAGGCCCAGCGCTACCGACGCAACGCAAAATTGCGACGAGCGGCAGCGCTCGCGCAAGACGAAGCGGAGCCGACCAGGCCCATTGACGCCACCCCTCAGACATTAAGAAACGATTCCAGCAGCGACAATAGAATAGAAAAACCCACCGATATATATATACAAATAAATTACACGCGCACTCACACTCCCCGACGCATTCGCAACACACACACACAGACACACATACACACGACGATTCGTGGTATGACGCTCCCATCTACTCACCGATAACCTTCTACCCCCGATCCTCTCGCAGACGTTCAATCCTCCCCTTGTTCGCCTGTGAACAATCCGCCCCTTTCACTTCTTCGCTCCCCCTCTCCTACGCTCTCCGAACCCGCTAATCCCGCAGAAAATCTCGCGGATCTGCAATCCGCGCCGACTCCTCCACCCCCCCCCCTCGCTCTCCTTCCCCTCAACCATCTACATCCAGAGACGAACCCGCAGATGATGAATCCTCCGACTCGACACGATCAACCACCCCTCCGCTCGATCCTAGATTTCAACACTTCCTCCGATTAGCCTCCACCTATAAAAAAGCAAATCCGGAAAGAATCCCCTTTGTCCTTGACCCTCTAACAACAGATCCTTCCGAAATCTTCCGGGTGGTAACCACCACGCCAGCCAGAAAAACTCCTCCCAGTTAAATTCCCTTATATAGATGATATTCGCTTAGTTCCCCCGTCCACCATTTTTATACAATATTCCCTCCAAGTTCCGCAAAAATCCAGGAAATAATAGAAATTGATCTGGAATGATCTCTACACCACGAATCGGCGTCTAAACATGCTACCGACACAGTTACACCTGTAAAACCCCGCCGGAGGCCCCTCACACACACTTCGCGTCACGCATCCACACATATATTCCCCCTCTCTACCTTCCGAGCGATGACCCTCCGTTTCAATGTAAAATTCGCGATACCACATTCATCCACACGAATACACATCTCAAAAATTGTAATCCTAACACCCATTAAATGAATAAATTAATATCATATGTATTATAATTTCTCCGTTTAATTAAGACGACCTCTCATCATTCCACATCCTCAATTGATCGCACGGTCTCGATCCTTAGTCCGTGGAGTTAATTCTCCAGACTTGAAAAGAGACCAACGAGTGAGTGTTCGCTAGACAGAGTAAGATCGGCGTACGCCGTTGACCTGTCGACGAACATAAGCAAACTCGCTCGACTCTGTTGCAGCGGGATCGCCAACCTGCTGTGCGGAGATAGACAGAGAAACGACAGCTCTCTGTTACTCCACCATAGCCCGACCGTAACCGTGGGCCAGGACGTAACAATGTGATGTTTAAAATATGTAGAAATATGATTGCATATGAAGAAATGCAAGAAATCGTCGTCACTCATGATGTCATATTTGTGCAATATTTTCACAATTTGCCTATTGAAGGTAAATACTGTGAAAATGCATAACGACTTTTTCGCAATTTTTGACAGATATTATTTACAAAATTTTATTTCGACAAAAACTGTTGCGTTTTGGCGAATCATCTTAGTGCAATCATTGCAAAATCGTCGCCATTCATGATGCCATTTTTGTGCAATATTTTCACAAATGTGCCTATTAGGGTATATATGTGTAAATTACACATTGTATCTATGACCACGCAAGATATAAATATCCTGACAAGAAAACAACTTTCCTACAAAATATAGATCGTCATTCTCGTTGCTTCGAACATTACTCACGTTTTCTTTCCAGTCGAATCTATGCAGGAAGTTCGGAAAAAGCCGTCCTTATCGGTTAAATTACCAGAGAATTCTGTCATCAAAACGTATCTTCCGGATGATAACGTATGGTTGAAATATAGGACGGTAAATCTCTCGAGATAATCATCCAAACGTCGAATCGGCTCGTGAATTGCAAATATGTTCTCTTTGGATACTTGCGAATCTTGCTCGATCAATCTGGCTTTCGTTACAATTAAGTTTTCTACATGAAAACCTATACTTTGCTTCGTATCCTGGTGAACAAATGTGGCATTGCATTCACCGATAAAGACGCCACGTTCGATATCGGTTATTAGTTTCACATTGTAATGTTCCGGTGTTACGTTCAACGACTTCGACAAAATTTCATGGTTTTCGGCACACGACACGTTGGCATCGAGATTCGTTACCGCGATAAAAACTAACGTGTTACTCAGTAATAACAGTCGCAGAAAAGCCATGCCGATTTTTATCTCGCGCATCTTTAAAACATGAGTTTTTTTTGTCTGTTAAAGAAAAAAATGAAAACACATCGTAGAAATTAATTCCGTGAAGAAAATAGGAAAAAGAGTTACGCTAAACTTTATTAAAATAATATTTATCAAAAAAAAATAAAAAAAAATAAATTGTAGATTTAAACAATCTTCGTAAATTGCAGTATTCAATATACATATAAATTACTACTTAGTTTTTTTTTTTTAAAAAAAGATGAGTGATCTTAAATATTAATGAAGATACATTTTTATCTTCACCTTGTGTGAGATTGCGAACAGTCGCGCGTCCACGCGTCTTTGAACTCCTTACACCGCAATACTAAGTCTTTTTGAGAAATTCTGAAAGGCTGTCCAAAAGTGTTTTCCACAAATGACAAATTCTAAAAAGACAATAATTATTCCAACATTTGTACACACGTTACTGTGTGAACTTCGTATAGTTTCGATTGCTCTTGCGCGCGACCTTTACCGCACGCACGAAACTGCGCCGTAAATTTGATGATCCGATGACAATTTTTTAGCAACAATTTAAGAATCGTTTTTCGCGCGTTGTTTATTGCAATTATCTTCTATTTTAGATTTCTGAACAAGTAACTTCATTTTATATTTTTAAAAAAAGACGATATTCAAAAAATGGTTCACAACAAAACGAGACTTGCAACGTCACTTTGACAACAAATATATGTTTTTGTTAGAGAAAATTCGCTAATTTTTATATGAAACAATATTAAGACACAATATTATACATATAAGAATACTTCTAATATATAAATTATAATTTTGTAATGTTGTTTTATACACATAAAATTTGACGCTAATTTTGTTCACTACAAAAAAATGAGTTTTGAAATATATATAGTCTGTATCTGAAAACTGCGCTGTAATATAACTTAAAACAGTGCGACTGTTGAAAAATTAATTGATCCGCGTTTTACATATTTTGTATGTTAATTTTTCAAAAAACCAAATACATAAAAGTCTCATAAAGTGACGATTGCCAACATCTCATTCGCTACTTATCGACCAGTTTTTGAATTATGTTCTCTTAGAAAGATTTTACATAAATTGTACTTTTTAATATAAACCCTTACGAAAAAGAATTACTGGCAGTAATATATTGCGGCAGTGGTACGAAAGAATTACTGGCATTCTGTGTAATTGCCAGTAATATTCTCAGTGATTCCTGTAATACCTAATAATATTCTTGTGTGATTGTCAGTAATATTTATATTACTGACTTTATTTATATGTAATCGGCAATAGTTCTTTTTCGTAACTTCTTACAAAATCGTTGAAATACTTACATATCTCGACTTCTTTCCAAAGGACCGTCAAAACTAAAACTGAACAGCCGTGTCATAAACATGTGACATATATATTTAATATATACAAGTTTTTGACAAAGCAAGGTCAGTTTTTTGCATATATGTAATACTTCTATATTGCTAGTACGGTGCCGACCTGAAGCTCAAATGTTACGGTGCAAACAATATAGGCTGCGGTCCGTTTCATGCTTAAGCGCACATTTATCTATAGTATACGTGACATATACTACAGATAAATGCGCGATTAAGCATGAAACGGACCGCAGCCATAGTAGCCTCTCTCTCGCGCAAGGTCCAGCTGCTTTGTGCGCATGCGGTGAACATTCAAGCACGCTTGGGCATTTCTCTTTCTCGCGTTCTTTCTCTCACTTTCCAATGTTTTGTCTCACTCGCACTCGCTTAGCAGACGCGCCTGCGCATAATGACGCTCGACTATCTATGCCCATATTTGGACTTCGTGTGTCTCTCTTTTTCGGACCTCGTGCCTCTCATTGTGAAGATACACGACTAGCAATATAGAAGTATTATATATATGATTTTTCGCTAGACATAAACTTTGTTTTCCACGCAACACTTGCCTTTCTTTAGTTGCGACCGTTCACGTAAAATTGGCCAATGTCAACATCAGCATTGTGATTGGCCAATTCCGCGTTGTTGTCGTGTAAACGTAGCTTTGGCTGCGTTCCGCTATTCACTGTTTAAAACCTATGTCACACTACGGATTGGAATTGAGATTGGATTGAAATTTAACCAATCAGAAAAAAGAAAACCAATCCCAAGTTTAGTGATCTTTGGTCTGATTGGCCAAATTGCAATCCAATCTCAATCCTAATCCGTAGTGTGACATAGGCTTAAACTGAAAATCTATAATTCACATATACTGTTTAGATTACACTCGAATTAATATTTGGAGTCTCGATTTAGTTGACCGATCACAATCGATAAACTCGATTGAAAAGGACCGGCCCGGAAAAAAATCCTTAGGTGGTGAGCGGATTCGAACTCGAGACCTCCGGGTTCGCAGCCTCTGCACTCAGGGGCCGCGAGACCACTGGGCCGGTCCACGGATTCCTTTCTACACACACTGGGTGCGTTCAGACAACTCAACGGTTGCACAACGGTTGAGAGATAATCACTTCTGATTGGATCATACTTTTGGAACCGCATCAGATTTTGAAGAATAGTCCTATCATAAGTGATAATCTCTCAACCGTTGAGTCTGAACGCACCCAATAATAAGACTCAACGGCTGCTTTCCTTTTAGGAGACACAGTCGACACAAGTCGACACAATAGTCATTCTGTCTTTGTTTCTCACTGAATACTGAACAAAGACAGAATGACTTTTGTGTCGACTTGTGTCGACTGTGTCTCCTAAAAGGAAAGCAGCCAACAATGACCATTATCACGTAGAATGGCGTATGGACTAGCTCTAACCGGTCCGAGAGCCATACGCGCACACCAAACCAATGACCATTAACCAATTTTACGTCATGCTCTGATGTTGCTCCAACTTGTGTGTAGAGCCAAGAAGACAATCATGCTGATGGCTGATACAAAATGACAGATAATATCAAAAAATGTAACGATGTTTTATTGTGTTAATTATAAAAGTAATTGTTATCTCAGTAACATATTGTTATTTGATTTGAAACAACCAATTGAAATTAAAACGTAAAATATATTGGATGGATTTCGGCGCATCAAGTGACGGTGAAACATGAGTTCCACGACAGAAATGACGAACAACGATGCGAATTACGATACGACAAGTTTTTATATCGGCTTAGGATTAGCTGTTAGTTCCAGTATCTTCATAGGTTGGTGTCTTCAATTTCTTTGGTATTGTAATTTTTTTTTTTTTTCCCCATGCTTCTCGAATAGATTTCAGTTTTGACCAAGTCAAAAAATGTTTTCTCTCGTTTTTTTAAATACAGGTGCCAGTTTTATCATAAAGAAGAAAGCTCTGATTCGGCTTCAAAGATACGGTGGACTGAGGGCTTCATCCGGAGGTTTTGGCTATTTGAAGGAATGGATGTGGTGGGCTGGTCTGGCATCTAGTATGTATATAAATCAGAAATTTTAAAATATCTCGATCAGTTCTTTTTCACACACAAACACTTGAAAATTGATGTTCTATAGTGGGAATAGGAGAGGGAGCTAATTTTGCCGCTTATGTCTTTGCTCCGGCATCACTTGTGACACCTCTGGGTGCACTGAGCGTTTTAGTATCGGCTGTACTAGCATCTAAGTATCTTAACGAAAGATTAAACCTATTAGGAAAGGTGAGAAACATCCTTAGATAAAGAAACAATCAAATTTTAACATCAATAATTTGTATCTATGATTGTTGTTAGAATTTTCAATATTTTAATGCCACGCCATTTTTTAGGTAGGCTGTTTGTTATGTATCTTAGGTTCAACTGTAATAGTATTACATTCCCCCAAAGAAGAGGAGGTCAGCAGTTTGAGCGAGCTGGTCGTCAAAATAAGAGAACCTGCTTATCTGCTGTACGTTTTAATTGTGATACTGTGCACACTCTCGATCGTATTTCACTTCGGTCCGGTGTACGGCAAGCAGAACATCTTGGTTTACATTTGTCTGTGCTCGTCCGTCGGTTCTTTGACCGTCATGAGTTGCAAGGGTCTAGGTTTGGCGCTGAAAGAGACCATAACGGGTAACGAGAACGGATTCCTCAATTGGCTCACGTGGGTCTTCATATTCAGCGTTATTCTCTGCATAATGGTGCAGATGAACTATCTGAACAAGTCGCTGGACTTGTTCGACACGTCCATCGTGACGCCGATCTATTACGTCTTCTTCACAACTCTGGTGATAACAGCGTCCGCGATTTTGTTTCGGGAATGGAAGAAGATGAGCGTGGAGGACGCGTTGGGTGCTTCCTGCGGTTTTCTCATCATTGTGATCGCCATATTTTTGCTGAACGCGTTCAAGGAGATGGACATACACTACGAGAACATCAGGCACATGTTGAGACCCAAACGAGAATTACTATCGAGCTACAATTCGAGATGGAACGAGGATCAGGAAAGGCCGTCGACCAGAATCGAGTCCCAACATTTGCTTAATTATAATTGCGGGAATTCAGATCTCGCTAGAACTATTTAAAATTGATGTACGTAGAGAAAACACATATATTGTATATACAACACGCAACAACAACACGTTTGCAACCTCATGTGTACATAAATAAAAGTATTGTTAGGATAATAATTTATTTACAGTTTTGAAATCAAAAGGTATATATATTATTTGAAAGCAATAAAATATTCAGAATATTTCTCGATTTGATATAATTTTCATTAGATATCGCCAAAAAAAAAGACAGCAAAGAAAAAATATTAGTATCATTTATATTGATCAACTCACGTTGCGATAAAATTTTATTTGCGAAGTATTTTACATGAAAATAATTTTTTTTTTTTTTTTTAAACAAAAACCAAGTTGAACCCCAAAAAAAGGTTCATAGAACGTAATTTAAATACTTAAATTTTTCGTCGGACGAAATTAACGTCGTGATCTCACATCTCTGTTTCAAATCGGATAACGCGAATCTTATCACGTGATCTACTTGATAGGGGATTCGTCGTCGGTTTTTCAGCTACTAGAATGGCGTTCAGTTTCGCCGCTTTTTCTTACATCGTTGCGCTGATCGGCGACGTGTTTTTAATATTTTTTGCGATATTTCACGTAAGTGTCTCAGGGCGATCGTGTGCACGTTGCCGCGCCAATACTTGTCACTGACAATTAACAATAAACATTCACTCACGCCGCCACATAACCTCGACACGTAGTTACGCGCGTGTATATTTTCTATTTATATATATATATATGAATTAGCAGGCATGTCATGTCATGTCATGTCATATTTCAGGTGATCACATTCGATGAGCTGAAAACCGGATACAAGAATCCAATCGATCAGTGTAACAACTTGAATCCGGTAAGAGAAAGCTGAGACGCGGTCTATGAAAAAGTACATAGTTCATAGTTCGTTATTTAAATTGTTGATGTCACTGCGCTGTTCTTTCAGCTGGTGTTACCAGAGTACATACTGCACATCGTGATCAACGTTTTGTTTCTATTCAGCGAGCAGTACTTCTCGCTGTTCATCAACATTCCGTTGATAGCTTATCATGTGTGGAGATACATGCACAGGCCTCTGATGACAGAATCGGGCCTTTACGATCCGACAAGTATAATGAACGCTTACGATCTGTCCATGTATCAAAGAGAAGGATGGATTAAGTTAGCGTTTTATCTCCTTACCTTTTTCTACTATTTATACGGGTAAGAGGATTGTTGCATCTTCAATTTTTCAAGAGTGCGAATCTTCGTTTCTGACTTGTACAATTTGCATTTCAGAATGATCAGGTCACTGATCCATTAGAACAGAAACGCTCCCGAAGTCTGCGGAATGAATCCCAAGGTTTGAAGAGTGTTCTAGTGTTTGTTTTTTCTCTTTTTTTTTTTTTTTCCCCTATAACTGTGCGCCCTCAATTTAGTGCGCGCGTAAGTCGCGGCAACAATTTATTGCTACGAGAAACAAGCAACGACAGTTCAAACTAACTTGTAATGTATCGTGTGGTGAGGAAATCCTTTAAATGGTATCAAGGTATGCAGCTGCACGACGAGATACATCCAGATATTTGTCACACATAAGGATATACAAATAACATATTATTTATAAGACTAAAAATAAAAGTTGAAGGTGGTTTGCTCCGTTTTTTTCACAAAAACATTTATTGTTACTTTTTGTCGGACGAATGCGCAAAACAAGCATATCTTGGAAACGCAATATAAATTGCTTTCTTTAATAGAAGAAAAAAAAAAAAATTTATAGAATCTGTAATTTTTAAAAGATAAGTTCAAATGTAGGAGTTCCATTAAATGTGTCGTTTTGATATGTTTTTACATGTGTAAAATACTTTTTTATGTACAATATATAAAGAAATATGTATATATATACACACACACACATATATACATATATATATATATATATATGTATATTTGTATGTATAATTTCAATTGACTTTTGTATATTTTTCGTGAGAGCGATCACGGTTGTTAAACAAATAAAGTGATTAAAATTTAAAATATTTATACTTCTCTCTTTTGTACATTTTAACTTTCAACGTATTTGTAATATATATATACATATGTATATATTTGTAATTTTAGCGAATTGCATTCGTGTGTACAAAATATTTACGAAACAACTCTTTTTTGTTCTAAAGTTCGTGAATTAAAAAAAATTTCAATTGCGCGGCATTTTCGTGCGTATGAAAATCAAACTTTTACGAAGTTTGTGTATATTTGTTATACAATTGTGCACTTTGTAAACTTTTGCATCAAAAATAAAATAATTGCAGTTTTAGAAGAGAGTAAAAAAAAAAAAAAAAAAAAACAAGAATTTATTATAATAATTGTATGAATAATTTTATCTCCATTTTAAAGATCATTGCACGTGTGACTCGGTTGTAATTGTAAGATTGTGAACGAATCAATCATTCACAGGCCAGCATTTTAGTTACTGTAAGGTAATACTGATCTGTGATTGGTTGAATTTTTTGTCACTACTTACTGGCGGTTATCAAGACTTTTTCACTGGCAATGGCCTTCACTGTCAGTAGCACGTGGCACGTTAATTAAATGCCGGCTGATGTAATCGAGATGTATGTTACAGTGGGATAGGTCGAAATAAACGCTGGTTCGATAAATGTGACAGTTTCTTTGACAAGAAAGACACTTATCAAGCAAACAAGCTCAATTAATAAATTAATCTTTAAAAAGTAAACAATTGATAAGATTGGGTGCGTTCAGATAACTCAACGGTTGAGAGATCATCACTTATGATAGAACTATTCTTCAAAATCCGTAGCGGTTCCAAAAGTATGATCAAATCAGAAGTGATTATCTCTCAACCGTTGTGCAACTGTTGAGTTGTCTGAACGCACCCATCGGTGAGAGAAATGAGCGCAACACGTTTTGCACATTATAACCTGTGATCGAATCCGAACCTAAAAATTTTAATTGCTGTAATTTATAATATGTAGGTGAATAATCAGGAACTAGCACTTGATTATAGCAGAGAAACGATAAAGAAACAATAAACGACATATATTTAATTACGACATTGTTATTATTTAAATCTAAAAAGATGCCGACTATCGGAATAAAACGTGACTTGCTCTTCAAAGCCTTGGGCAAAACTTATTGTGAGTTTTATTTTCCATACTGTCTTTAAATATTATGCGCAAAATCTTGTTTTCAATTTTAAACACATAAAATATCAATAAATATTTTGTTTTAGCTGATGAAGAATTCCAAGATTTATGTTTCAAGTTCGGTTTGGAGCTTGACGAGGTGGTGAGTAGTAACAAATCCGTCTTGTACAAATATATATTTGCATTATATTTGTTTTCTGATAATTTATGTTTTTTGTTGCGAGCAGACAACAGAAAAACAGATGATAGCGAAAGAACAAGGTTCTGATCAAGGTGTAGACGCTTCCGAGGAAGTTATTTACAAGATTGACATACCTGCTAACAGATATGATCTGCTGTGTCTGGAAAGCTTAAGCATTGGACTGCTTATATTTTTAAACAAGTAACTATCATACACATATGTACAACTTGTGTGTACTTGAGTAAATCAAATGCTTTGTTTTTTGTTTCATTGTTCTACATTATACCACTTTTTTCTTCCTGTACACAGAATACCTATTCCACGTTACAAAGCGTTGAAACCAAAAAAGATGGAAAGAATTGTAATGAGCCCAGAGGTAAATATGAGATATCTTAAAAACATTTTATCTTGAATTCATATCACAGCTTTCTTGCGAAATGAACTATTATTTGCTTGGTTTTTAGTGTTTGAAAGTGAGGGGACATATAGTTGCTGCAATTTTGCGAGATGTCACTTTAACCCAGGACGCTTACAACAGTTTCATCGATCTTCAGGACAAGCTACATCAAAATATAGGAAGAAAACGTAGTCTAGTTTCTATCGGTACTCACGATTTGGACACGATTGTAGGTCCGTTTCTGTATGACGCAAAACCACCGTCCGAAATACGTTTCAAGCCACTGAATCAGGACAAAGAATATACGGGAGAAGGAATCATGCAATTGTATGCTGTACGTGTCTCTTTCGTTACGCTTGTCTCGACTTTGTAGCGGTTATCGGACTCCAACAATTCTTTCATACGTCTACAATATTAGACATACGTTTCAAGTTTCGAATTTGAAGCTGTGACATTTCTGCGGACCTGCAGGTTTAAGTGGAATCCGAACCATCATGTCGTTGATAATTGTTCTGATACTGCTTTATCTGTGCAATACTAATTAAAGAATATATAGTTCGTTTTTCATCCGATATACATGCGGTAATCGGCAGAAAAAGACCGGCCCGGAAAAAAGACTGATTCGAACTCGGGATCTCAATGGGTCCGCAGTTCTTGCGCTAAAGCCGCGAAACTAATGGGCTGGTCTTTACTTTTGTTAATTCCATAAGTTAACCAAGCATGCATGTTTGTGTTTCTAAAAAATTTTTGTAATTTCTTTGTTCACAGACGCATGCCCAGCTGAAACAGTATTTACCTATCATTAGAGACAGTCCTGTTTATCCTGTGGTGTATGACAGTAACGGAGTTGTCTTATCTCTTCCTCCTATCATCAACGGAGATCATACCAAGATCACGCTTAACACGAAGAACATTTTTATTGAGTGCACTGCAACTGATCTCACAAAAGTATACAGAAATAAAAATTATTTCTAATTAATTTCATTCTCACAAGCGATGTATTTGGAAAAATATGCAATTTTTGAAGATAGATAAATAACTGATGTTGTGAGACAAGAAAACGTTGAAACTTAAAAACTTTGCAGGCGAGGATAGTAGTGGACACTATAGTCTGCGCTTTCAGTCAATATTGCAAAACGAAATACACAGCCGAGACCGTGGAAGTAGTATATCCTGACGGTCAGATATTTCATTATCCGAAATTGAAATATCGAACAGAAGAGATCGACTGTAACAGGGCGATAAGTTACATTGGCATCAAGTGCGTAGTCCATTCACACAGTAGTAAAAACAACAATTTGTTTTCTGAAGAGCCTAGTAAAAAGTACAACATATATGTTTGGTTTTTAGGCAAACACCAGAACAGGTCGCGGAGTTGTTGTCGAAGATGTCTCTGAAATCCGAAGTGAAAGACGAGGATAAACTACTGGTGGAGGTGCCACCAACGAGACACGATGTTATACATCCCTGTGACATTTACGAGGACATTGCCATCGCCTATGGCTACAATGAAATAGAGAAGACTATACCGCACACGTCTACGATCGCGGCCGAGGTAAATTCAAGATTGACCGAGTAATAAAACGATGTTTTAATTGATATGTATATCATGTTTAACTTAGTTCCCACTCAACAAACTCTCTGATCAAATACGTGTGGAGTTGGCGCAGGCGGGATTCACCGAAGCTCTAACATTCTCTCTGGTATGTCCAAGAACACTTTCTACATTTGTGTAACTTTTGAATTATCCTCGAAATTACGTATTTTGATCGTGTGATGTTATCTTGTAGTGTTCACGTGAAGACGTAGCGGACAAACTGGGTCACAAGATACAGGATGTACCAGCGGTTCACATATCCAATCCAAAAACTTTAGAATTTCAGGTAAATTATTATATTATAGTTAGAAGGAAACTACGAATTCGATCTTTTGTTTCATGCGGAATGAGAAAATACACTCGGCTCGACACTGTAATTGCCTGAGCAAATAAGAGAGTTGGGATGAGAACAAATCGTCGTTGCAGGTCGCGCGTACCACGCTGTTACCGGGACTGCTCAAAACGATTTCCGCGAACAAGAAAATGCCGTTGCCTCATAAACTGTTTGAAGTTTCCGACGTCGTATTGCGGGACGCCAGCGCCGAAGTTGGCGCGCGCAACAATCGTCGTTTGTGCGCGGTTTACGCCAACAAGTCGGCCGGTTTTGAGATAATTCACGGTCTCGTGGATCGAATACTGCTGTTGCTGGAAGTGCCGTGGAGTCCTGACAAAGACAAAACCGGATATTATCTGCGCGCGGCCGATGGTAAAATTTATGGTCGTTTCTCTTTTCAGTTTTTATTGCGTCGATGGATACGTCGACGTATAGAAAAATCAAATGAATCGGTTGTTCTTTCTCTTTCAGATCCGACCTTTTTTCCTCAGCGATGCGCCGAGATCGTCTGCTACGGCGAGGTGATAGGAAAGATGGGAGTTCTGCATCCCGATGTGCTGTCCAAGTTCGAACTGAACATTCCGTGTTCAGCGATGGAAATAAATATCGAATTGTTTGTGTAGCAAAATTAGTAGAGCGCGCGCGTACAGATCGAATAAATTTTGTACAAGTAGTTTATAATTAACTTAACCGACCGCAATCCACGCATTTTTCTATCACACACGTATGTTGTATAAAAAGTATACAACCTCTTGTCACAACTGTTTCTAAGAAATATATATGTTATATATATTTAATTGTTGAATCATATTTGTTTTTGTGGAAAAAACAAAGATTAATACACACATTATATTCTCTCTTCTTTAGACACCAGATATTTTTCTATTTTCAAGAAAACAAGACAAAGTGCAGGTTGAACCACCGTGTGTCACAGCACATTTTTTTAAATTTGATCAATTTTTTTACAAGCTCAGGGAAGGGATTTAGTTTTATTACCCTAAAACTGTGTGATCGCGTCGTTAGGATTTTCGTGCCGCGCTTGAGACGAGAGAGAAATCTTCCCGCGAGTCCCGCGAACGCGATTGAAGTTGCGCGCCAAAAGCTCGGCGGCGCCGCGGTTCGTCGAACGTCGGTAAAATTGCTGTTAATCGGTCGACGGATGTGCGACCCGCGGCCAGGCCGCGAGGTAGTGGTATTCGGAAACTCTGGCTCGCCGTCGCCATAGTGGAAATGGCGGGTGTTAGCTTACGCGAATGACGGCCGATTCAGTCTCACGAAGAAGTTACTGCCGTCGAGAGTTGTATTAATCGCGTGAGCGTGTTGTAAAGGTGTGTGTTTCCCGTCGCGGCACCGAGCATTATCATCAACGAAGAATAACTGTGTGTCATATATGATTCATTTGGAGGGTAAAGATGCAGAATGTAGTACAAGGCACGACTTCGGATAGCCAGAAAAGTCACGAAAAGCAGCCCGCTACATCGGCAGCGGTACCGCAATCATCGGCCGTTGCATCGGGTAATCACCACGAGACTGGGAAGACGTCGTCTACCCCGCAGTCTTCCAATTCGAGCCCCACGAAGTCCGAGACTGAGACCTTCTCGGAACTGCAACCGCGCTTTATGACAGACTCGTCGGAAAGTGAGGAAGACAGCGTTTCCGAGGTAAAATGCCAGAATCGAGAGAGAGAAGAGAAAGACAGAGAGAGAGAGAGAGAGAGAGAGAGAGGGAGAGACTTCTCTTCGCGTTAGCAAATCGCGATAAGATGTGGATATTATATTCCGTGTTCGCGATGCGTCGAGGACGGAATGCGGGAGCGAGAGAGAGGATCGAGAGAGAATGCGAAAGAAAGATCGAGAAAGAGAGGGTGAATGTGCGCGTAAGCGCGATGCGTGCGCGTGTGAGTGAGCGAGCGAGCAAGAGCGAGAGAGAGAGAGAGAGAAAAAGAGAAGGAAAACGCTATGTCTGTGCGTACGTGTGTGTGTGTGTGCGCGCGCGCGCGCACACGCGCGCATGTGTGTATATATTTCACAACTGTGTGTCGTCTTTGCGAATCGAATGCGTGTGCGTCCGCTTTGCAAAAAAAAAAAAAAAAAAAAAAAAATAAAAAATAAAACGTTTCGCCGACATTTATTTCGTTTTATGCGGGCGTGAATCGTCGTTCGTCCGTCATTCGACGTGGGTTGCCGACGTCGGTGTCGCTCGCGGGGCGTTTTGCACGGCTACATCGTGTGCGAATCGCGTTATGCCACTTCTGGGAACACGCTGAATCCCGATCTCGAATTAGTAGCGTCGAACTCTCGCCAAGGCTTCTCGGCTAAGTCTCGCTCCCTCTCCGTCTCTCTCTCTCTCTCTCTCTCTCCCTCTCTCTCTCTCTTTTTCTCTCCTTTACTCAGTGTGTTGGCGTTTCCTACGCTATTTCTTATCAACGTGCGTTCTTCGAGTGCCCCTCTACTACATCAATTGTATACTGACGGCGTTTGGAGTCGTCCGCGCTCGTTACACCCGATCGATGCGGTGATCTATACAAGTGCAGGTGTGTGTGTGTGTGTGTGTACGTCTCTGCCGTACAAAACATACACAACACAACAGTGTATACATTTATGTATGTGTGCACAGGGTGTCCGAAAAAAAAAAAATGGTATACTCGCGGAAGAAGACACGGGGAGAGAACACTCGGAGGAGAGACAGAGAGTAGTAGCCAATGCGTCTCGTTCGAGCGTAACATCCGGTATTTTTGCGTCTATTCTTAGCTACGTCACTTGCGCGTAATTATATAAAAATCGTCGAGTTCGCGAACAGAAAATATAAATACATAAATTTTTACCGACGTTTCGAGTATATAATGCGCGTATGTCAGGAACTTATCGGGACACCCTGTATAATACACGCACTTGTGCGCGACACACACACACACACACGTGTGGCGAGTATGTTCACGCGTTGTGAAATTGATATACGCGCAACGCGTATTTTTATGTGCATTAGAGCGCACGCACTACGTGAAACAAACGTTTGTTTCCGGATTGGAGCGGGAAATATTGCCAGAAGGAGAGAGAGAAGGACTCAAATTCTCCTATTAGGAGCGGAGACTTGACGTTCTGGGTTAAAACGTCACACACACGCACACATATATACACAACACGCGAGAGCGCAAGACGATCCTGCCGACGTGTGCACCAAGGAAGAAGGAAGGGGTCGTGAACGTTGGCCCGCGCGCATTAACTCCGGGTGGTGATGAATTTCGTATATTGTTTGATTCTCTCGCGGCGCAAGAGAGCGAGTGTTTTCAAGCGGAACGCGTGGCGAGAAGCGTGGCTCATGAAAATCGGGTTTAATAGCTGACAAGCGATATGGTTGGTGTCGTCGACGGTGGGTCGTTTGACTACGTTTCTTTCTCGAACTGTGCTGCATACACGCGCGCACGCACGCACGCACGCACGCACGCACGCACGCACACTCTCCTCCTCGTGTCTGCGGATAGTTAAGGATAATTTAGAGAAATTAGCGCTAATCAACTACGTAAGGCCGCGAGTTGTGAATCACATCAGTGCGCGAGTCCCCGTGCGCGGATAATCTAGAATTAAAACAATTTGTTTTCGTAAGTACGGCGACTGTGCTCTCTTTTTTTTTTTTTAGGTTATACAAGTGTCTTCTCTCCGTGTGACGGACAGAGAGAGAGAGAGAGAGAAAGGGGAAGGAGTGCGAAACTCTACGAGAGAAGAGCGTTAGCTTGGATATTTTTGAGAGGTTTCCCTGCGCGAATTTGTCGCGCACACGTGAATTGTGAACCACAGAGAGTGAGTGAGTGAGAAAGATTGAGAGGGGGGGAGGGAGGGACAGGAAATCGAGACGAGTTGTTTCTCGAGCTAGAACGGTGTGTAATCGGGGTTAAGGTCCGATTGCACAAGCGCCTAACCTCTTGGCTAGGATAGCGGCTGTTTCCTTTTTTTTTTTTTTTCTACGCGTCGCGGATCGAACGAGAGCGATCGCCGATCTAGAGTTTTCTTCTCGTTCCGGATGCAATCGAGGCGCCGATCCCGCCGATGCCGAACCGTTGTGATTTCTAACCTCGATTGCGATCAGGAATTCTTCTTGCGGCTCGCAATCACGAGCGTGAGGATTATAACCTAACCTAACCTACAAATGAAAAACGAGCGTTAGAGATCGGCAATAAGTCGAAGTCGCCCATGTGGCGTTGTACAATCGCGATTAATATTCGGTTTCCTGTGGCCAGGATTGGCCAATAAATCCCCCGGCCGTTAACTCCGTTTTTCTCGCTCATTTGTGTTGCAAATTATCTGGCTTCTTTGAGAGAGAGAGAGAGAGAGAGGCTCGCGATTCTCATTCATTAGCTAAGATTTGTTTTTTTCCTTCTTTTTGAAAAAAAAAAAAAAAAGTCTCGCGTTCTGGTGCTGAATATTTTGTATTTTTCGCATTTATTCGGTGGGAACCAAATCCGCTCTACGGCAATATTTTTGTTTGTTTGTTTGTTTTTTTTTAATTGTTTTTTTTTTGTACGTGCTTCTAGGAGCTGCAAATTGCCTCGAGGCTGATTTTAGAATTCTAATGAAAATACACACATAGAAAATAAGTGAGGAATACCGTTAATGGTAATAGGAAACCTCTAGGTCGAAAATATAATTCCCTCGTCACTTCGATACGTCAGATCTGATAGAACAGCTGTTTTCACTGCCTTTCTCACCACTGGTCTATGTGTATGTTGTAATTTTCCCAAATTCGTGCGTCTCGCATTCATTCAGACACGCTTCTTTTTTAGTTCGAAAACAAAAAACACTTCTCGTCCGTTTTCTTCATCGACCTGTGTTTCGCGCGTGTTTCCTTGTTAATTCAACGCGGAGGATAAAACAAACACGTAACAGCCAAGGTAATTACACAGAGATTTCATTTTTTTAATTGTTGTGTTTTGCAATTTGTTTTTCTTTTTTATATATATTTTCTTTTATATATATATATATATATATATATATATATATATATATATATATATATATATATATATATATAAAGTTATTTATTACCAATTTGCAAATGTTGCAAAATGTTGTCATTTCTTTGCTTGTGTCAACTTTACATGATATATATATATCATGTAAAGTTGACACAAGCAAAGAATTGACAACATTTCGCAACATTTGCAAATTGGTAATAAATAACTTTTTCTAGGCTATAATTGTAATGCGAATCGAATGTTGGCAGAAATGGCAGAAACTAAAGAACGATCACGTGAAGGCATCCACACGCACACACAGACACACCTCCCCTTCCTTTTCACCCTCCGAGTTTATCGGTTGCCGTCGTCGTCGTCGTTGACGTTGGCTTTGATGTCAGCCACCAGGTGTCTTCTTCTTCTTACCGGGACATAGATCTAGGCGTGCAAGCCACCATGTAGATAGGCGCTCGCTCTCTCGCACATTGTCTTTCGTTGCGGAAGAATGGAAGGAACGAAGGGAGGAAAGAAACGACGGAACGCGTCAGCAGGGAATTCACGCGTCGGGAAGGAGTTATATAACCAGATTATGTACACACACACACACGTACATAGCGTTGATTGTTTAACCGCCGTGGAAACGAAATCAACCAGTCCAGCTTTGACCTTTCTCTCTTTCTCTCTCTCTCTCTCGCTCTCTGTCTCATTTCTTCTCGATACTTCTGTATATCACGACTTGGTTGTGGCAAATGGTTCCTGCAATTTCTATCGTCTTTCCGCCTTCTCTTTCTCTCGCGCGTGAGAGAGCGCGTTTGCTGTTAAAGCACCACCGCGCTCTCGCGACCGCTCGCACCTTCGTCCTGACGTCGACGCCTAGGCGCGGAGTGATTTCGAACGTGTCGTTTTCCCCCCTTATATCAGTCCCGCGTGTTCCCCGCGAGAGAATGACAGAGAGGAGCATAAAAGAAAACGAGAGAGAAAGAGCGACGGGGAAAGAAGAATGAATGTGCGCCTCGCTTGTGTATGTGTGTGTGTACGTGTATATATATAGATGCGCGAACGTATGATCACATCGTGTCGCATAGCGCCGCTCTAGCGGCCAGGTGTGTGTGCGTATATGCCACTGCACAAGCAGGCGCGTGCGCGCTTCGTTGTACATGTCTCTTTTCGCGTAGAAGCGTGTAAAAAAGAACGTAGAGAGATGCGTGTGCGTGCGGGATAGTCACGGGAAGTCACGCACACACACACACACACGCACGCACAACCGTACGATATCACGTACCGTGCCTTACACGCGCGTACACATACAACGCTGTCGCACGTGTACACGGTGACTGGTTGTACGTGTGTAAGTGCGATGCGCGAGCAGCGAGCGTGCCTCTACGTTCGTTCGTTCGTTCGTTCGTTCGTTCGTTCGTTCGCATTGCCATCGGTGCGCCACCAAACGGACCTCTCGTCGTAATACACATCGCGTTCTCTCGCTCGCGAGTATCCGCCACGAGTTTTCAGAGACGGGGGTACGATTAGAAGCCAACCACCGGGGGTCGCAACCTGTGGGCCAGTTCACTCGGCTCGAGTCTCGGAGCTCCGCTGGTTAGATAGCTCTCGTTCACTCGCATCTATCCATCCATCCGCCTGCTCGCCTCGCTCCCTCGCTCGTCCCTCGCCGGTCGCCGCGTTTGTCCGTTGTGTGCATTGTCGTGGCAGTGCCCGCCTCTCACTGTGTGCGCCTGTCGCTGGTCGATGTATGCGTGGAAGTGACCGCGGAGAGCAGAGCCACCATATTATTCTATGTCCTACCAACGGCGTTCGCACGGAATTCCTTGTTCGCGATGTTCGCGGGTTAAGTTTCTCCTTCTGCCTGTGCCTTAACGACAAGAGGAGAGAGAAAGAGAGAGAGAGAGAGAGAGAGAGATAGATATATAGATAGCTTAGCTAAATAGATAGAGATATACAGAGAGAAAGAAAAAAAAAGGAGCGAGTTTCAACGTCAATCTTCTCTACGCTGTCTCGCCTTCGCCATCGTTTCGTGCGCATCGGGGAAATAAAACGTCGAACGAATAATCCGAATTTCCGACGGCAAATGTATGCCGCTCGATTGTCCTCGCGCTCCTTCGGCCGATCATGCCACGAGGCGGGGTGAAGAGAGAAAAGAAAACGGAAGGACGAGCTGCGCGATTCTGGTGTAGGTAGTCGCATCGGAGTGCAGAAACGCGAGAGAGAGAGCTCTCCATTGATCATGGAAGTGTCAGTGCCGTGTCTCAACCGCGAGTCCGCTTCTTCGCCGCGAGAGGAACGGCCCCGCGCGCATCGCCGAGCGCTTTGCCTGAAACGTCACTTATCGTCGCGAGCGACCCAGCCGCTCGCCTAGAAAACACACAATTATACTTTCACCCGCGTTCCCGATTTTCAGTTTATTGTCTCGCGTTCGCGATCGGCGAGTCGCCTCTTCTCCGCGCGACCGCATGCTGATTTTTTTATTTTTTTTTATTTTTTTTTATTTTTTTCACTCGAACAAGCGCTTGTTTCGTCGCGCGCAAAAAAAACGCGCTGATAAAACCGCAGAGTTTCGTCGGCTCCCCCCCCGGTCGAGAGACACAACCGTGTCTCTCTAATCCTTCGTGAGATTTTGCTCTCCCAGTTGAATTCTCCCAGACTCAACCGAGTCGATTTCCGGGATCTCTCCGTGACGTGGAGCGATTTATGCGCGCCTTTGTTCGCCGACGATTATCGATGCCGTTCGCAAGGACGGGGGAAAGAGAGATGATTAAAAATATATAGAATGCGTGAAAAATAGCTTGCGAGATAAAAAAGAAAGGCAGTGTCGCTATGATGTAAAGTGTGTGTGTGTGTGTATATATATATATATATATATGTATATATGAACATACACACGCAGTGCCGTAACAATAGACCGACCAACTTGACACTAAACTGTTGTGTATTTTCCATATGATGGAAGTGAATCCTCGTAGCCCCATCGATGAACGTTCTCTTGTTTTTTGATTTTTAGGTGGACTGCTTCGCAATAGATAATATTGAAGTTGACGGAGATCAATCCGAACCGTCGAAATTTCTATTGACACCTGAGGATCCTGAGCGTTCCGTAGACCCAGAAACCCAGGCGCGTCTCGAAGCACTTCTTGAGGCTGCCGGTATCGGGAAGTTGTCGTCGGGTGATGGAAAACACTTGGCGGATCACGAGGTGCTTCGTCGTTTAACATCTAGTGTTTCATGTGCATTGGATGAGGCTGCGGCAGCATTAACACGTATGCGCGACAATCCACGTACGCCGAACGACAAGCGCGCTCTTGTCGAGGCGTGTACCGACGGTGACGTCGGTACCGTTCGGAAATTGTTGACAGAGGGTCGCAGCGTTCACGAAACAACCGAAGAGGGTGAAAGTTTGCTTTCCCTGGCTTGCTCGGCCGGTTACTTTGAACTCGCCCAGGTTTGGATGCTTAAATTTGATACAAATTCTCTTTTTTTTTTTTTTTTTTTTTTTCATCTCGTCACACGAGAACTCGTCGAGTTCCACGCCGCGAATCCCGATTGTAGAAATTTGTGTAAAAACGCGTCGCCGAATTTTTGTGTTGAAATGCATGAACGTCGTTATACGCGTCTTGTTACACGTGTGGATAAAGAATTCTCGGTACACACGTATAACGTGCGCAAATTCTCAATTGTACGTGAGTGAGGTGCGTGAGGTGGTCAAGTTTATAATTGTAGAATTTGTTGTGTTTGGGTTTTTTCTTGCACACACAAAATCCTGTATCGAAAGTTTATTACTTCCTCAAAAAGTGTTTCTTTTTTTAGTAGAATTATTCTGCGAGAGTCGCAGAAAGATTCACTTCTCATTTTACTTTTGTGAATTTGTATATTATTTTTTTTTACATGTAACGTATTTGTGCGAGCAGTCAGATCATGATTGCTATACTATAATAGCTGTAATAACACACTGGAACAGTAATTTTAATCGTTGTTGCAAAATCTAGCAAAGTAAGAACTTGCGAGTTAATCTCGCGAGTTGTATGTGTAAATTTCCTCGTCTCGATATCATGTCTGTTGTCAAAATCATTGCATGCAACATAGACAATGTTCGTGTACACTCAATTTACATTTGTCTAAAATGTTTCTGTTAGCTTACACACATGATTTTGTAAATAGCGAGAATGATTCGAGTTTTGATTGGATCAAAATTATCGAGTCCTTTTTATCTTTAATTAAAAGATTAGACAAATTGCGGAAGAGGCAGTTTCTTTTACACGTACAAAACAGTTTTTTGTAAAACACATCAGTGTTGTATGATATTTCAACTTTCTTTTTTGTTTATCCAACTGTCATATCAATCATCTACATGAAGTTAGCATTGTTCTTATATACGTTATATGTGTGTATATATTGTAAGAAAAATTTACTACACAATACATAGTTTTTTTTTTTATAGTCTGATAACAAACTGTCAACGTGTGTTCTTCAAAATAGGTGCTGTTAGCAATGAGTGCCAATGTAGAGGATCGTGGCATCAAAGGGGACTGTACCCCTTTGATGGAAGCTGCTAGTGCAGGGCATGTGGAGATCGTGAGTTTGCTTATCGCTCACGGTGCCGATGTCAATGCTCAGTCTACTTCGGGTAAAATTACAATATTGTTTACATGTATAAGTTTAAATGCTTTTTTTTTTTTTTTTTTTAAACAAATTGTTGAATCTTATCAATGCAAATAGTGGAGGTTATTGTGTTGAGGATAAAATAGGTGAAAAATATTTGTATGGATTGAAGGCAACACACCTCTCATGTATGGATGTGCCGGCGGACACGTAGCTGTCGTGAAAGTCTTATTGGAAGCTGGGGCCAATGTGGAAGATCATAACGAAAACGGCCACACACCTTTGATGGAAGCCGCGAGTGCCGGGCACGTTAAGGTTGCCAAGATCTTGCTTGAGCACGGCGCCGGCATCAATACTCATTCCAATGAATTTAAAGAATCTGCATTAACGTTGGCTTGTTATAAAGGACACTTAGAAATGGTTCGATTCTTACTGGAGGCTGGCGCGGATCAGGTATCGATCGTTGTTAAATTTCCCGTGACGTTTAATTGATATCGCATGTTATAGAAAATTTCGATGCAACCGACAAAACTCGTTTATCAGTTGTTCACGTGAGATATTGGTTTATTTGCAAATGATCGTAGGAACATAAGACGGACGAGATGCATACAGCGTTAATGGAAGCTTCCATGGATGGTCATGTTGAAGTAGCACGTTTACTCTTAGACTCAGGTGCTCAAGTTAACATGCCCACGGATAGCTTTGAGTCACCTCTAACGTTAGCCGCATGCGGTGGTCATGTGGATTTGGCCATGCTGTTAATTGAGCGTGGAGCGAACATCGAGGAAGTAAATGATGAAGGCTACACGCCACTAATGGAAGCAGCGCGAGAGGGTCATGAAGAAATGGTTGCTCTGCTGTTAGGTCAAGGTATAGATCAAGTTCTTTTTGATATTTTTATATATTATATTTTTGAATTGTGTATTTGTAGTAAGTCTGTGTGTTCTCTGTTATATATTAATCTTGATACATAGAAATTACAATTATGAAAAATTAATCCTTAAAAAGGTGCGAACATCAATGCTCAAACTGAGGAAACTCAGGAAACGGCACTCACCTTGGCTTGCTGCGGCGGATTTATGGAAGTGGCAGATTTTTTAATCAAGGCAGGAGCAGATATAGAACTTGGCGCGTCTACTCCGTTGATGGAGGCGGCGCAAGAAGGTCATTTAGATCTTGTAAAATACTTGTTAGATGCCCAAGCTGATGTTCACGCACAGACGCAAACGGGGGATACAGCTTTGACGTATGCCTGTGAAAATGGCCATACCGATGTAGCTGATCTTTTGTTACAATTTGGTGCTGACCTTGTACGTTTTACTTGACAATATACTTTCTCAGTCTCTTTGCTAAAGTATATTATTATTTACTCAAATTGTGTTTGTTTTATATTATAGGAACATGAATCGGAGGGAGGTAGAACTCCTTTGATGAAAGCTTGTCGTGCTGGCCATCTATGTACAGTTCAATTCCTCATTTCAAAACGTGCAGAAGTTAATCGACAGACGACAAATAACGATCACACACCCCTTTCCTTAGCATGTGCGGGAGGTCACCTCTCGGTAGTTGAATTATTGCTCTCACAATCAGCAAATCCGTTTCATAAGTTGAAGGTAAGTTCTCGAGATCTGAATTACGTGAAAGATAAGGAATTCTCAAATTAAAAGTGTTACAACACAAATTAAATGTGTTAAATTATTTATTTTTTTATTTTGGTGACATACAACAATAAAATACATATTGCAGGACAATTCCACAATGTTGATAGAAGCCGCTAAAGGTGGTCACACTGCGGTTGTTCAACTATTACTTGATTATCCGCATAGTATTCTAATGAATGCTCCTCATAATGCTGCATCTGCACCTGTCTTATTGCCACAACAACAACCGCAGCAGCAGCAGCAGCAACAACAACAACAACAACAACAACAACAACAGCAGCAGCAGCAGCAACAACAACAACAACAACAACAACAACAACAGCAGCAGCAGCAGCAACAACAACAACAACAACAACAACATATAAGTCATCAGCAACACGTACCTCATCCTCAGCAAACATCCGCGCAACCGCAACAGCATCCGCAGCCACAGCAACAGCAACAACCAACTGCCGATCAACAACAAGTCCAAAATCTCCAACCCAAACATAACACGACCAAGTCGTTGTTGAGGAAAAACCGATCAACGACTCTGATGCAAGACATAAGCCTTACCTCTGCCGAAGCGCAGCAGGTACGTTCCCAACCCGCAGGCGAATCAGCCGCTACCACCAAGGATGACACCAATATTCTCGATAAAGGCAGCGGAGGATTCGCGAGTTTGTCAGAACCCAATATTAGTCTTAGTCCAACGCCAACAGCGTCAACGCAAGGGTCCGAAAGCCGGAAAAATAGACAAGAGCAAATTCTTCATAAGCAACAAATACTCGAGGAGCTACAAGTATGCTTTAATCAGACACATCTGTAAATCAAACATTTATTTATTCGTTAAACCTTCTGTGATCGCATAAAAGTTTAAAGTATTATTAGCGTGGAGTGTGTAAACTACATAAATTATATAATTGGTTAAAATCATACTCTTTTTTTCTAGATAACAACTAATGGTACTAACTAACTATAACAGCGGAATATATGAAAAAAAATTGCTTTGATATAACATGGAACAAAGTCGAATTAATGAATCACATTAATTTGAAATTGCTGAGTTCTTGTTCGCACACACATTAAATAGTTTTGTGTTTTGATCGAAAAAAATTTATTTAAAGAAAACTACATCTTTTTGACTAATCAGTAAATTTCATACTTTCTTGTTATCTTCTTAATCTTTACTGTTAATTATGCGTTTTTTGTTTCTGTTAAAGAAGTACAATCGTGTGCATGGAACAAACTTGTTATTTCAATATCGCGTTTAAAATAACTGTATATATTTAATTTTTATTTTATTTTATTTTGTATATATATGTGATTATTTATGTATTTTTATAAACCACAAATATTATCCACGAAATATACAAAGTGAAAAATTTATATAAGTTTGATCTGTTATATGATTGATGCAAATCTTAAAAATTCATCGAATTGTTACAGTTTGTAAAATGAGAAAAAAAAAACGAAATTACAAAAATAAGAATGAAAAATAGGTATATATTGTCGTATATCTCGTTATCTTGCACAGAATTGCCATGCAAATTATTTCTTGGGGCTCATAATTTTGCTATAAGAAATATAAATGACGAGTCTTAAAAGATTCACAAAGACTTACCAAGTTATTTCTGATGACAATGTTTATTTTGTATTTTTGGAAGTTAACATGATTTGATGCACTTTATTCTTGCGATCATCGAAGGAATCAAAAAGAAAAAATTTAAAAAATGTTTCAAACTATTTTATATTTAAATCATACATAAATATATTTATATGCACATATATACGTAGTTTGCAGGATACGTAGTTTTTACAATTCTCTGTTACATGTTACCGTTATTAACTATTTTAGAGGGTAGAACGAGAATTACAAATTAAAGGAGCGGGACATTTATTTTCTGGTCCGCGAAATACACTAATAAATCAACCTCAGCAGCAACAACAGCAACAAGATCCCAGTGAGACAGAGGCATTATTACCAAGCATGTTGAACATTGATTTACCGGCCCAGACGTCTCCTCATGGTATTTCTCTCATCACGCTTTTGTTATATTAAACAATTACGTGTTACAAGTGTTCTGAATATGTTTTCGTGACTGTTTTCCAAGGTTTAGTTTGTACAACTGGCATGTCCGGCACCTCGTTGACGTATCAAGGAACCAGTGACGTAGCGTTGGCCTGCAGCGCCTACCTTGAACACAAGATAGGGGTGGGAGCTGTGCCGTTTGACGCTATGAAATCACTCACCGTAACCCCGACCGCGACGGAAACGTTTCCTACAAACACATTTAGCTCTTCACCTCCTTTATCCCTGGCGTTGCCTACAACTGTCAATGCCGCTGCGATTTCCACTGTCTCTACTTCATCGGCGACCACGCCGAGTCCACCGAGCATCTCCACTCCGCCGACCGTCATAGCTGTCTCCCAATCGCCGATTACCGCGAGCAGTGATGTCAGTCAGAATACCGCAATAAGCGATCGCCCGAAAGCGAAGCCCGTGTCGAAGAAGGAAGGGAAGAACGTACGGAAGGCCGCGTCCGGCATGGCAATGGCGAAACTGCAACAGACACAGGCGACCATAATGGCCGGGCTCCAACAGCAATATCAGAAACAACGACAGCATACCTATCATGTACAACAAGTCCATCAGTTGCAACAACTCAATCAACAATTGCAACTTCAACTGGATCAAGTGCAGGTAAACCTCTCTCTAGTCTGTAGGGTTTATGCTTCATTGTGCTCGACAAAAAAAAAGAACAATATAAAAACGCGCGCGTGCACACACACTTAGAGTAAATTTCCAATGAATTCGTGTTACCTTAATGTAGATACAACAACAATCACAACAGCCGCAATCTCAACCGCAACAACCTCAATTGCAACCTCATTTACAACAAAACGTAGTCGGCAATAATGCGAGCAACACCATTACCACTCAACTGATATCACATTTGCATTCTACGCACCATCATCTGCATAGCCAGGTAATTATTGTTTCTTTCTCTGTCTCTCAAATCGATTAGATGTCACTTGCGTGTTCGCATTGAAGCACATTTGAGAATTTTCAACAGCAAACAACGCCCGAAAACCTTTCCGAGCAAACGGATCCTGAATTAACGCGAAAGTACAGAGAAACTGCTTGCGCATTTTTTACCGGTGCCCAGAAGTCTAAAAGCTTCTCCGCTAATGACAGAATGTTGAAATTAGAAGACGGCACTGATATTCCTATCGATGACGCATTTGAAATTTTTCGCTCTCTCAGTTTTGACGATGCAGTTGATGGTAAATATTTCGTTCTTGAAATTCAGGAATATACATACGTATTTTACAAAGAGAGATCGTCAGTTAAAAAGTGTCTCTTTATCGTGGTCTTTTGTTTTCTTCTGTATAGCGACTGAAGATCAAGAAAAACTCGAGCTGAAGAGATTGGACGTATCAGGTAGTAAGGAACCGCAACAGCAGCAACAACAGCAGCAGCAGCAGCAGTTGCAAACCACACGCATACTTCAGCAATGTGGTAGTCCCCGTCTGTCTCAAGAATATTTCACCACTCCCACTGGCGGCGTGTTGGCAATACCATCTGTCACCGTGCCGACCATACCGGTGCAAGTAACCGGCGCAGGGGTTCAGATAGAAACGGACATATCAGCGAGTTTACAACTGACGAATACGCAATCTCTGCAGAATCCGTCGCTGAAGAATCGTCTGAGAGCTTTCGAGGAGGGCTTTCGCCAAGGTAGCATAGACTTTCGCGAGTGTATACAGCGCATGGGCAACGATAGCTTCCAGCCTCAGTTGTTGCTCCAATCGTCTCAGATAAGTAAGTTGATTGAACGCGCGTTATCAATGCCGTAAACAATGTGACCGGATTTTTTTCGCGATAAGGACAATTTGTAATCGCCCGTTGTAATCTTACTCGTTAAAATAGCGTTTCCCACGCAAACGTTGCCAGCTGTGAGCGGGTCAACGGGAATGATCGACAACATACCTCATCAATCGAGTGGTTACACACAATCCTCAACCTGTAGCACCAATCAGGTTCAGGTCGCTACCCAAACCCAAGCGCCAACTACAACGACCGCCGCGAGCGGACTCGCAACTTCGGACAAAAAGCAAGTGCAGTACACCGCGCCAACGACTGGCAAAGGAAAAAAGACCAGATATCCTCTTCTGACCCAGCAGCAATCTTGTCAGCAACAACAAACTACTAATGCTCAACAGACTCCCAATTTCTCCACGCAGAACTATCAACTGGATCCAGCGACAGGTAAGTATACACATGACGCTGTGTGATTATTTTCGCTAGAGGAAAAAAATAAAATAAAACTCGCACCGTAACGCGACAATCACGATGATGAAGATAAGTAGCTGACGATGTTCTCGCTGCTGAGATTTATTGGTCAATTATTGGCACAACAGGTGTTCCAACAGTTGGAGGTTACGCTACAAATCAAGTTCCACCCGCTCCGTATTCGTGTTTAGACGTCGACTCGGCGACTGACAGTAATCATGATACAGCTTTAACCTTAGCTTGTGCGGGGGGCCATGAGGATCTTGTCGAACTGCTTTTGAATCGAGGTGCAAACATCGGTAAGTAAAAATCACATTTGTAATACATTTGAGATCCGTTTTTGATCGAACAATTTTGTATTAAAAAAAATGTTTACAACGTACTAATTGTTTCACAGAACATAGAGATAAAAAAGGGTTTACTCCGCTTATTTTGGCCGCGACGGCTGGTCATCAAAAAGTAGTAGAGATACTACTCAATCATGGAGCTGACATAGAAGCACAATCTGAACGTACTAAGGATACGCCATTATCTCTCGCGTGCAGCGGTGGTAGATATGAAGTAGTTGAACTTTTGCTGACTCGTGGAGCGAACAAGGAACATCGCAACGTTTCAGATTATACTCCCCTAAGTCTCGCGGCATCTGGCGGTTATGTAAATATAATTAAACTTCTTCTTAGCCATGGTGCCGAAATCAATTCACGGACTGGTTCGAAATTGGGAATTTCGCCGCTTATGCTTGCCGCTATGAATGGCCATACAGGTAAAGAAAAATATTGCGATCAGAAATTTCATTATTTAACTTCGTTTGCAAAATACTCGCGAAGTAACAAAAATTTCAATTTACATATGTGAAATATTTTTATAACGGTTTTAATAACAAAAAGAAATAATAACAATTTATATTTGATTTTACAGCGGCAGTAAAATTATTGTTGGACATGGGTAGTGATATCAACGCTCAAATAGAAACCAATCGCAACACTGCGTTAACTCTCGCTTGTTTCCAAGGACGGCACGAGGTTGTCAGTCTCCTACTTGATCGTAAAGCCAACGTCGAACATCGAGCTAAGGTATCTCTGACCTAACCAAGCGATACACGATGTGCGTGTTTCACTTTTTCTAACGCAACGTTTACTTTTTTTTTTCTACATAGACGGGTTTAACGCCGTTAATGGAAGCTGCCAGTGGCGGATACGTTGAGGTAGGCCGCGTATTACTCACCAAAGGCGCGGATGTCAACGCGACGCCTGTTCCATCATCTCGCGATACCGCCCTCACTATCGCTGCTGATAAAGGACACTGCCGTTTTGTAGAACTCTTGTTATCAAGGTAATAATTTTTTCTTCTACCGAACCTATCTAATGTTGGTTATATTCTCTGTAGAAGTTTGATAGAACGAATTGATTTCGCGTTTTACAGAGGTACTCAGGTTGAGGTGAAGAACAAGAAAGGTAACAGTCCATTATGGTTGGCAGCGAATGGTGGCCATCTCAATGTTGTAGATTTACTATTTCACGCGGGTGCAGATATCGACTCGCAAGATAATCGTAAGGCACGTGCAAACAGTTGTTTGAGAAAATGTGGAGTTTTTATATTTTTTTATACCACAGATCATTTCTATAGTAGCTTTTTTCTTTTTTTTGATAATTAGGTCTCTTGTTTAATGGCTGCGTTTCGCAAGGGCCACATCAAAGTGGTGAAATGGATGGTGAATCACGTAACGCAATTCCCGAGCGATCAGGAGATGACGAGGTATATAGCAACCGTGAGCGACAAGGAACTCCTGGAGAAGTGTCAGGAATGCGTTAAGGTGATAAGAGCAGCCAAGGAGACGCAGGCCGCTAAAGCGAACAAAAATGCCACAATATTGCTAGAAGAACTGGATATGGAAAAGACAAGAGAGGAGTCGAAGAAAGCAGCTGCTGCCCGAAGACGAGAGCGAAAGAAAAAAAAGAAGCTCGAGAAAAAGGAGGAGAAACGTAAACTTCACGAGGAATACAAGAAGAACGAGACGGTTTACGAGGATAAGGAGGAAAGCGGGAAGAAATCGGGCGACGAGGAGTGCGATCGTGCGGACGATAGCGAACACGAGGCCGGCGACGAGAGAATGGAGAGCGTGCCGTCGCCCGTGAACAGAAGTCCGGAGGATCCCGACAGGGAGGAAGGTGACAGTGGAATAGATGCCAACAGTCAGGGCAGTTGTAGCAGCAATGACGTGAAAGCACGAGAGAAGAAAAAGGACAAGAAGAAAAAGAAGAGCAACAGTCCCAGTAATAATAATGACAAAGACACGTCACCCCAACGTTCGCCCAAGACTCTTCTTGCACAAAACACGAATTTGTCCCAGAATTCGATGACATCAGCTAAATCTCAGAACAACGCTTCAGATAAGTAAGTGGATATAATTTTTCTTCTCACACTTGACTTACATTTTTAAGAGAGAATTGAAGTAGCTTGATACTAATTGTTAGTCTGCATCGTTTACCACATACGAGTGAATTCTGAAATAATTTCTGCAGGCGTATTGTCACCAACGTTACGAGTTCAGTGTCGGTGTCGACAACTTCGGTCACGACAACAAGAACGTCCACCACCGTCAGTTCCGAACGAAAACTGAAGGGTCAGCTGGTGTTCGAATCATCGAGGCATCCGGCTGACAGAGAAGATTTTGAGGCAACCGGTAACGAGGCTTATGTTCCCGGCAAAGGAAAGAAATCTTATGGCAATCAGTACGATGGAGACAATCTCAATACATCGTCGAAGATTAGTAACACCAGCCCGAAACAAAGCGGAAAGCGCGAAGAGGGATGGAAAGAAGTTGTACGAAAGTAAGATATTGTTGCTCTCAACGCTATTGTCCTTTTTTTTGCGGATTTTGTTTTGCGACACGAACGGAAAAAAAATAAAAATTTCGATTCAACAAATTCGTGCGTTCGAGAGAATGTAGTGTTCGCAATTTGTAGGGGCCAATCGGATGATTCAGGAAGATTTATGAATTCCCCATTCCGTTCTAAGAAGGTGTCCGTTCCTCCTAACGCTATCAGCCGTGTGATAGGTCGAGGTGGCAGTAATATAAACGCCATTCGGGTCGCCACGGGTGCGCACATCGAAGTGGAGAAGCAAAGTAAATCGCAAGGAGAGAGAATTATAACGATTAAGTAAGTGAGTCAGAATGAGAGATATTAAAAAAAACAAAAAATTAACACGTACGTATAATCGATTTCGAGAACGTAGAGCAAAAAAAAAGTTGAAAAAAAATTGTTCATCTCTGTTTTATTTCGTATCTGTTGCTCTGTAGAGGGTCATCTGAGGCAACAAAGCAAGCGCATTCATTGATATCGTTACTTATCAAAGATCCAGATGTGGATCTATTGCAAATAATTCCTAAATCGAAGCTCAACGTCGTGACAACTTCCGTTTGGGATAAGTCCGTTTCTACTGTTGCTGTAAGAACGCAAAAGAAAATCTCTACAATCGATACGTTTTATCCGTCTCATCGCGTAAAAAAAGAGCAATCTGACAGGTTTGTGTTTTCTCACACGCAGGCAAGTAAGACAAAAGTTGGTTCTGTAAATAAACTGCCTAATCTGGCGTCAAGTACAACCAATGTCCAAGTAAAATCGGGATATCCATCGAGCGTATCTACCGTAAGTCAGTTGATTCCTTTGCGTTCGTCGTCTACCATTAAGCTTGCCGGGGCCTTTCCTTCCCCAATGCCACGTGCGACAGCGCCCAGACTCGTGGCTGCAGGTAATGTTAGATGCGACACGCGCAGTAATTTTTTTTCGCGTATTTAAAAACTTAATATTGTATTAAAAAAAAAAAAAAAAAAAAATATTTCGTGCCTACGTAGCGGAGAAGCGTGCGCAAGCAGTAGCTGCCCAAATGGCCTCCTCGTCGAACACCAAGACCACAATGTCATATACGAGCGCGATCATGACCGCCGGTAGGACTGGGACGAAGATCGTCACAACCAGCACGACGCAGACATTTGCGGCGAAACTGTCCGAAATCACTGCCTCTACTCACAGTTCCAACGTCATGCAATCCGCTCACAACGCGTCGATGAACAAGCAACAGAAATCCGTGGCGCAAGCCGCTACCGTGACTGTCATGTCGGCCACATCCACGGCGACCGCTCACCCAACCAGCCAGCAACAGCAATCCGTAGTCACTACTTCGCCGAAACACTGCCGACCACTGCCTACTTTATCTGCCCCGCCGACAATGGCTCATTTTTCCGGAAAGTCGAATTACCCTCCTGGAACCAACGCGATGTCGTCGTCGTCGGCGATCACGAACACCGTGGCGGTGACGAACTGCCCGGAAAGCTCGACCGTCTCGACGTCAACCAGTTCCGTTCGCGTGACACCTTCGCCACCTATCGCGCCGTCTCAGACACAAACGTTGCCGCCACCTGCTGCGCCGTTGGCGCAGCAACAACAGCAATCGACGCAACAGCAGCAGCAGCAATCGCAACAAGCTGCGCGCAGCACGACCCCGGTCTTGATGCAGGAGCAACAGCAACAACAACAACAACAGCAGCAGCAACAGCAGCAGCAACAACAACAACCGACCTCTACGCCTTTAGAATACTCGTTGTTTAACGATACTTTTACCAAGGTCACGCAACAGTCTATGTGGGGGGGAAGAGAAAGCGAAACTCAGAAGGGTTTGAATTTCGCAACTGTTGCTGGCGGTGGTGTATCGTCAAACGCGGGATCGGGCTCAACCACAGCTAAATTTGACAGTTCCCCACCGCAGGTACGTGGTAAGACCAAATTATTCAAAATGATACTTTATGTGCGGACGCGAGTATCAAATGAAAAATGTTAAGTAGTTTTTACAAGTCTGCGTAAACACTTTGTGTTAATAAAAACTATTGCTTTTTTTTATCGATGTGATGTCACAAATAATAAAATAATTCAATAAACAAAATTTACCTTGCACAGGTCGATGCGTCTAAAGCTCCGGGATATCGTGGAACGGCAATGTGTTCTCCGGTTTCGAGCAAACAGGGTGTCACGAGTAACGCGTCGACCAACGTGATCAGCAGCGCTGTATCGTGCTCTGGTCACAACAATTCTATACAGACCCATTATCAACAATCAACTAGCTACAATGAGCATCCTTTGCCGAACAAACCGTCTGGCAATCTAGCCGTGGCTAGACCGGTGATGTCTCAACAGAGTATCGACATGAGCACGGCCATGACAAATCAATTCAACAGGCCAGCAGTCTATCAGGGCGACCTGACATCACGTAACACGACGACGCACCAACAGCCGGCGCACGTGATACCCACGTCGCAGCCGACCTTGGACGTCGGTCTGTTCAAGGCTGCTAACAGCGGTGGTGGTTACGAGCATCCGAACGTAAACTCTAACTTGTTGAAGATGGTGCCGAACGACAGTCAGGGCAACACTGGACATGCCCTACTACCGTTCCATCCTCACATTCAGAGTTATTCTCAAACTATTGCTCCATCTGGTTCTCCTGTGATTAGCACCACCGTTAGTATGTCACGATTGAATCCCCGTGCTCCCGATTTCTCAAGTTCGTTGCATCTAAACAACAAGCCTCAAGTAACAATGTTCAATGCTGCTGCCGGATCGACGGGTTTGCATCCGGCTAATATGTTTGCCGCCACCGTGCCAGCTCCACCACCGTCCGCGATACAGTCTAACAATCTGGCGATGCTCGGAAACTTTCCTCTAGGAAAGTATCAAGCACCATCGCGGGCAACGCCCGCTGCCAATACCGGTATCTCAACAACGGCTCAGACGACACGGTGGCCGTTTGCCACACCAGCACCTCATACTAGTTACCCGCCGCATCAAGACCCGATAATGAGTCAAATAGGATTTTCGAGTCATTTGACTACTATCGGACAGCCAGGCGGTAGCATCGATCTGATCACTAGTCTGAGCGAGGTCAATGGTGGCGGTGGCGGCGGTGGCGGCTCACCGTCCATGTCGCCTTCATCACCCGCGCAAGTTGCTCAAGAAATGAGTCAGCTGAAGCTCGAGGATCGCAAAGTAGTACCTCGACCAATTGGCACGGAAAGGGCGACATGGAAAAATTATTCGGCCGCGGGCATGGGTCCGGGCGGAGACGCCGATTCCATCAGTTGGATGTTGACCGACAACAAGGTAAACTGGTCAACTAATTGCAGTTTGGCGCCCGGTATCGACAGGCATCAGATGTTCCGATCAAATCCCACGTACAATCAACGTATGTCCAACGTCGATCCCGAGCTTCATCAGATGATGGAATCTTCCTTTCAGGTAGCGACTTACTTTCTCTATCTTTTTCGACTCGTTATTTTTTCCATGTCGGATCGAAACTTTGCAAGTAATTTCTTACATCTTTTAATACTTTTACATAACGTAAAAAAAAAAATAAATCTTTACTGGTTCTTTTCAAGTCGCGTATATATTGTGTGTGTAAGTATTACGATGTGACGTTAATAATTGATTGAACCCGTAGCAACTCTCTAGTGATAAAAACGGCGCGAGCCATGTCTGATTTTTGAAGAACAAACAAGTGACTTAAAACAACGCCACAAAATACAATATTCTTCTTATACTTGTTGCCGTGAGAATCCATATGTAAAAAAATAATTCTTGTTCAGGGTCATGTAGACACTCAACAGCCGTTCCCGGCTAACGGCAATGCCGCGGCTTTATCGCTCATACCAGGATTGACGTTATTGCCGGGACAGTTTGGGGCGCCTGGCCTTGCGGAAATTCCGCCAGCTGAGCCTAACAAGATGGATCCACCCGCGTGGGCAATATCCGATGCAGTGCCGGACAAACAACATCCCGTAAGATTTTCAGATCGAATTCTTTTCTCTCTTTTTCTCTTTATTTCGCAATGTGACGTTGTTCGTTCTGAGCGCTTTACGTTTATTTAATAAAATTATATTAAATTTCTTTTCCTTGTAGCCGTGGAACAAGCCGTGGACGAGTCATTAAAAAAAGATCCGATTACGTGGACACGACCTCAACCTCCCAATGTGACGAAAATTCATTTAAAATTCGTAGTAATCGATACGTCAAAAAAAAGAAAACAAAAATAATTTATTATTTGTAGACAACACACACATGCATACGATGAATTATATTATAATCTCTCTTATTATATTCATTCGAATTCCCGGATTTTTGACAGTACTTGTCACGCTAGAACAATAAAAAGCGACGATTCTTTAATTATTCTCAACGCTAATATACATATATATATATATATATATATATATATATAACGTGCATATATACGTGTATATTAATAAATGTATGTGTATATATTGATGTATACATATATATATACGCGTTAATGTATATGTATGTACAAGTATATATGTATGTATACGTTAATGCATATGTATACATTAATGTATACATATATATATATATATTTAAATGTAT